GTTTTCCAGCAGGTCTCTGCACAGATGGAATAGTTTCCAATTGCAGCAGAAGGGGCCAGAGCTGAGACTGGACCCCTTCAGGACTTGATGTGGGGCAGCAGCTGGAAAACCCACCTCACTGGTTCAGATAGGAGTGTCTCCCAGCAGGTCTCTGCACAAATTGGATAGCTTCCTGACTACAGCAGGAGGGACTGGTGCTGAGACTGGGCCCTTTTGGGATCTGCTGGTGGATGATGGCAGAAGAGCTTATCTTATTGGCTCAGAAGGGCATGTATCTCCTAGTAGATTCCTGCACAGGTAGGATAGTTTATTGACTGCAACAGAAGGGGCCAGAGCTGACAGTGGGCACATTTAGTATCTGCTGTGGTACAGAGGTTGATGAGCCCTTCTTGGAAGCTAAGATTCCCAGGCTGCTAGATATGAGCAAGCCTCCTTCTGGGCTCTTGCACATTTAGCTCTGAGTTGGGACCTCAGTGGAGGGGAGCCGGAGACAAGCCACAGGGCAACTTTCAGGTTCACTACCAAGATTGATGTTGGCAGGCAGATGAGCCTCTCCACTGAGGCACTAGTGTGCCTGATTCCACCTACAACCCCTGGCAGTTGGTTTTAGTTGCAGGCTCAAGGCCAAAAAGGGCTGTAGTCAAGCTCCTTAGGAAGCAGGGCCATTTCTAGGCTTCAACCTGGAAGCATAATTGGCAGAGTTGCCATTTGGGTGTCAGTTTGTACTCTCAAAACAACCCTCCTTAGAATTGGAGGATTCTAATACGGTTTCACAACCTTCTACCTATATCCCGAGGTTCTGAGAGACTTTGTCTGTAGATGGATACAGAATTTCTGATGTGGTGGTGGGATATTAGGGAGGGATATATGGAGGGATATGACACATTTGCTGATGTCACTATAAATTTATCTTGCTTGTGATTTGGCTAAGATCCTTACATTTATATCAGGTAGGACTAATCTGTGGTTTTCTTTTCTTTTCTTTTCTTTTTTTTCAGACAGAGTTCCACTCTGTTGCCCAGGCTGGGACGCAATGGCATGATCAAGGCTCACTGCAACCTCTGCCTCTTGGGTTCAAGCTATTCTCATGTCTCGGCCTCCAGAGTAGCTGGATTACATGCACCCACCACCATGTCCCCCTAATTTTTGTATTTTTAGTAGAGATGGGTTTCACCATATTGGTCAGGTTGGCCTCAAATTCCTGACCTCAGATGATCCACCCACCTCAGCCTCCCAAAGTGCTGGGATTACAGGCGTAAGCCACCACACCAGTCGAATTTCTTTATTTTACACAGTTACTACCTGGGTCAGTTTACTAGTTCAGAATAATGCAAATAAAGAAGAAAATGGGCCAGATGAAGTGGTTCACATCTGTAATCCCAACACTTTAGGAGGCCAAGGAGGGAGGATCACTTGAGCTCAGGAGTTCAAGACCAGCCTGGGCAACATAATGAGACCTCATTTCTACACACACACACAAAAATTGCTAGGAGTAGTGGTGTCGGCCTGTAGTCCCAGCTACTCGGAAGGCTGAGGTGGGAGGATCACTTGAGCCTGGGAGGTCGAGGCTGTAGAGAGCCATGATTGCACCACCATATTCCAGTGAGACCCTGTCTCAAAAAAAAAAAAAAAAAAAAGAAAAATGTATTCTCTTTTTCCATCTTTTGGAACAGAATATACCATGTGAGAGTTCTTGAAAGTTCTAAAGGACTTATCAGAAAATTACCCAAGCCTAGAGCCTTTGCTGAGATAATAATTTTAAAACTTCTACTTTTTCTCTTCTTGATTATTGGCTTATTCAGGGTTCTCTACCTTTTCTGAGGAAATTTTCTAAATTCGTATGTTTCTATAAATTTGCCAATTTTAATGAGATGCTCTAATTTATTACCATAATTACAAACCGTTCTCTCATTATTCAAAATATCAAAATATTTCATCTGTCACAATATTACATATTGTCATATCAGTTTTCCCACTTCTACTTTAGTGTACTTGTGGGTTTTTATGTATTTGTTCTCTTTTGTTTGTTTTTAGATATTCTTTTTAAGCCCAACCTTCCTCTGAGACCTCCCTCCTCCCCTATTCAGGTTCCTAGAAGGGCTCTCATGCTAAATCCATCGCTTTCTCCACTTTGCCCAGGTACCCAGTACTTTGTGCAGAGTTTATCTGCTCCAAATTTCTCACTACAGGTCTTGACCAGTACAAGGCTATATCCATAACCTGAAGTTTTCCTTCTCCTCTTTTCCTACAAAAACCTATTTGAGTCTGTCCCATTCTCATGTCACTTTCAGGTAACTGGTTAATTCATTCAATGAAAACAATGAGAAAGAATGAAAGAGAAAGACCAATGAGATCACTAAAGTGGGGTTCCAGAGATAAGTCCTGAACCAGATCTGCCACCATCTAGATCCGGGGCCTTATCTCCAGACCACAGTTTTCCTCAGCTGTAAAAAAAAAAAAAAAAAGTTGAGGATTTCAAGATTTCCAGTCTCACTCACCTTAAGCATTCTGTAATTATTTATTATCTGGATTTTCAAATAAAATATTTTTTATTATATTTCAGGTTCTGAGGTACATGTGCAGATCATGCAGGATTGTTACATAGATATACACATGCCTTGGTGGTTTGCTGCATCCATCCCCCTGTCATCTACATTAGGTATTTCTCCTAATATTATCCCTCCCCAATGCCCCCAACCCCTGCTATCCCTCCTCTACCCACCCCCAACAGGCCCCATGTGTGATGTTCCCCTCCCTGTGTCCATGTGTTCTGACTAAATTAACATGTTGCTCTGTCTGTGTAATAGGTCCATTTTAACAGCTGTCTTTGGGACTTTCAATCCAAAGCAGGAAGCAGCATGAGATTTCCTAATACTGCTAAAAATGATTTGGCAATAGGATTCATTTAATCCTGCAGTGTTAAAACCAAATCTATGCTGTTTCAGTATCCTAATAATCAATTAGGATTATTTGAGTGCCATTGCACTCCAGTCTGGGTGACAGAGTGAGACGCTGTCTTAAAAAAAAAAAAAAAAGGATTGTTGTGGAAAAAGTAAAGTAGTAACAAGAAATGGAAATCAGCAAATTGCCAAGCAAAGCAGTATGATAACACTAAAGGAGTAAAGGAGATAGTACGAGTCTACCCTTTTGTATTCATTGAATGTCAGTTATAACTTCTCCCAAAGGAGACCTTGAATTTCTTGATTATGTTCTTAAATGACAACATTTGGAATGGCAACTCTAGTTGAATACTCCTTCTTCTAGGGATTGTATCTTCTTCTAAGAAATGCCCCCCATATCAGCTCCATACATAAGGTTTCTACTATGAACCTATCTCCAGAGCAACAGTTCATTGATTGGCCCAGAAAGGAGTGAATGACCAAAGCTAAGCCAAGGAGTTACTTCCCTGGATATTGGGACTTGGGACCAAGACAATAAGAGGAGTTTCCCTGAGAGTGCTGAACACTCTGAGCATGTAAGCAATGAAGCCCATGAGCCACCAGAAACCACATATTCTGCCAGGTGGAGTAGAATGGTAAGTGGCAAGAGAGAAAAAAGACACCTGTGTGCAGAGAGAAGTGACGCATAGAGGCAGCTGGATAAACACTTATAGAGAAACAGATTTGAGAGAGATTTGCAAACTATAAGGCTACTAGAGAGGTGTCACTCTTAAATAAATGCAGACAGCTGGTGTGCTACAGTAAATACTAAAGAAAAACTGGCTACTTTGAAGATAGCTAATGATACTCAACTGTGAGCAACTGCCTACAGAATCTGGGAGCTCTTTGCACTGGTACCAGTGTTCAGATAGAAGACCATGGCCATTGAACACTGATCCACTGAGAACATAGAACAGTGTGGTGACAACAAATAGAGCAAGGTCGAAATGAGAAAAGATGACCTGAACATGGACCCTGCTACCATAAGCTTATGATTCGTGCAGAGGATCATGTGACTAATACATGGACATGGCTGAACTGATTTTATATCATGCTCATGTCGACTATGTAATAAATTCAATGTAATTTAACTTCACAGGATAGATTGAGTGATTCATAATCACTAAATACTCAAAAGGCATGAGTGGATTAACTCTACAAGGTATAGTTATAGATATCTGAACCTAGAAGATTGCAAATGGCAATGTCAACAACATTCAGATTTTTCAGAGTATGAATGAAACAAGAGATAAACAGTCCTTACAGGATGGCTCAGTCCTGTCAAGATGTCCTCTGCATTCCTGTCCTTTAGTCCTACTGACAGTCACACTTATAAACACTTCAATGTTTGTAACTCCTTGTCCTATCTCCTTCCCCTGGAGTAATTTTCTATCTCCCAACATCGCACCCTATCTATTTTTTAAGTTCCTACTCAAATATCAGTGTGATGCTTTCCCCTATACCCCAGGCAATCTGAGTAGCGTTGAATCCTGTGATCAGCCACTTCTATGAAACGATTTCTACAGTTGTCATATTGCCTTAAATTACATGTTTACATGCCTGTCTTTCCCAGCTATGGCATAGTCATCGCTGTACTCCTCAAATCTAGCACACTGCCCGTACTGAATGGTTACTGAGTGAAAGCATGAAATAATCCCTAATTACTATGCATTATAATGGTTATAGTTTTTCAATTTGTGACAAAATTAACTCTGCTGTAATTTTATATTAGACATGGCAATAACATAAACTTTGGTTATTGTGTGTTCATTCTTGTTAGCTATCCATGCAATCCAGCTATCTCTTTAGAACCTTAGAACTTAAAAACACAACCAATCAAAAAAACAGTATATGGTAGGTGAGCACGTTCTTCTCTAAACAAAGATACCTATATCATACCTTCACTTTAGGAGGCATGAAAGGATGAAAGAGGAATACATTTGATATTTTTTGAATTCTGTTTTAAATATATTTCTAAGAATCAGCTATGAAATTACAAAAGGCAACATTTGGGCAAAAAATATGGACATGTTGCTAAATTTTGTAGATTGCTAATCCTACCCAGTTTCAGTTTCTTGGCCAGTGCGTCAATTTGATTGGTGGGGTCAGACCCCATGGACAGGAAACATATCAGAGGTGTCCGGGTATCACTTTCTTCCCAAGTTTTCTCCAGATTTAAGATAACTGGTTCTGTGTACTTCTCCTCCAAAGAATCTGCAATATACTTTCTTGCTTGAAAAACAGTACGGTCTGGGCACCAAGACCTAAAAATGAATACAAGTTAGCCAAAATAAACTAAATGTGTTGATTTTATATTCTGTCTCATTCTGAGTAAGTAAAAACACACATTTAATTAGCAAAAGGGCAACGAGCTAATTCCTACTTTTCCACATCTGTGTAAGAGGAACGGCAAGGTTTCCTATCCATGGAGGAACACAAATTTAATTGCATGGTTTTGGTGCCAGCCAGGTATTGGCAAGAAGTAGGGCAGAGCCCATAGCAACACAGTGTCCTCTATCAGCTCCAATACATAGTAGCGGCTGACCTGCCACACACTCTGAAGCTCCACAACATTCAGGGGAAGAACCAACATGCCAAACATGCCAAGAGTAAGTTGGTCAGCAAGCATTTGTGGCATACCATTTGTGTATTGCACACCATAGTAAGTTCTACACACACAGACACAATGGATAAGAATCATTTAATACTGACATGATAAAGCAAAGATAAGTCCCACAGACTCTTTTTTTTTTTTTTTTTTTTTGCTACTAGCTTGCAGGTTTGACATAGATCTAATTTTAAAATGATGGATTAAATATAGACACATTTGGTCCAATAAAATCAAGTAGCCCTTTTATTCTCTGCAGACTATGAGGTCAACATTAGTGTTGTTCTGGTCACTCTTGAAGGTGACAAGAGCTACAAAACAACTTTTTCTAAGAAGTGCAAACTTTAGTGTATAACATTAGGAAAGATAAAAACGGCTTCAAAATAACCCTACCTCTCTTCATTTTTCATTTGGGGGCCTCATACCCCTGCTTTACTCTTCTGCCTTACCCACCCGTCATACATACACACACACACACACACACACACACACACGCACACGCACTCACACACAGATTTTTTCCAATGTGGACTGTCTCTGAGTTACAGGGTACTGAGAAAATGTAAAAAGTGAAAAGAGAGGGGGATTTTCTTCTTTAATGTCAAATTTTGTTTCCATTTTGATAGCCAAAAATAGCATTATATATATTTTAAATTCAGTGCAATATTGGTTTTTTTCTCAAACACAATTTAAATTTAGCTTATAAACTAATTGTCTTGTAACTGTGTGAGGTCTGGTTTTTTTTAAAGAAATAAATTTAATAATAAATGATTTACGCTCAATGGTAATCATGAACAAAGTGAATAATAAAAGCATATTTTTCACACTTTTTGCTAAAAACACTATCATTAATACATTGTCAAAATACATCATTCCCTGCCATCATCACCGTTTTACTTAAGAACTGCCATCTAAAACCATAATCTGGGAGTACATACATTTCTTACAATATTAGATTTGTGCAAAAAGAATTGTGGGTTTTGCCATTACTTTCAATGACAGCAATACAGTGAAGTAAACTCATTGAGATAAAATCTGTAATTTAGCGATATTTTGGGTGATGCTTCTAGGTCTGCTCTCACCTGATAAGTAAAAGTTTATGGCAGGTATCTAGTGAATCATTATATCCATCAGGGATAATTTCCTCCTCTGGAGCATCTTTATCAAACCAGCTTTTCCACCCCTTCTCATTACGAGATATCTAAAAGAAGCAAGCCAATTAGCAAGTCACAGAACTATATGTAATTGGAATATATTAGAAAGGATTCTAAATCACCTTACAGGGTCATTCTTTACAGGCAGATAACTTTTCAAGCATAACACAGTTTAAACCTTTCTTCAGGATCAATGACTTGAATAATGTGGATATTACTATTTCCTTTCAGTTCTTCTTCCATTATTTTCTACATTATTTGCTATGATTAGGATCATGTGTCGACTGCACCAAATGATTGGGCCGGAAGAAACACAAATCAAGGTTTCTCAAGCTTGGTATTACTGTCATTTGGATCTGAATATTTTTATGTCAGGGGGCTGTCTTGGGCATTGTAGGATGTTTAGCAGCATCCCTATCCACTGGATACCAGTAGCACCCTCCACCCGGGTCCCAACAATCGAAAATGTCTCCAGACATGGCCAAATGCCCCTGGGGGTGGGTAGATTATCCTCAGTTGAGTGCCACTAACAGACCATTCTGATAACCCAACCTCTAAATGTTGATCTCTACTTAAAAAATAGTGATAAATGACAAAATCAAAACTGTTATTTTCCTAGTGATCCCTCACCTTGAGACCTAAAACTTAATAATGAAAGGAGCCTCTCCAAGAGCTGGTCTCAAATGTTGTTCAGAAGCATGAAATAAGGTTTTAGAGCATGAAATCAGGTTTTTAGAGGCATTAAAATGTGCTCCCTGCAGCCCAAGTGCCATCAAGACTAATTACAAAAACTATAGATTATTGAGCCAATCCCTGCTCTTCAGCAACAATCAGGCTGGGTTATTCAGACATTGTTTGTAAGTGTGCTTTTTAAAAAGCCATGGCAAGCAATAATAGCAAATAGCAAAGTCTCATATAGCAGATACCATGTGCCAGACTTGAGGATTACACTTTTTCCTCTATTACCTCTACCTTTTATTGAGGCATAGAGAGTTTAAATAACTGTTCAAAGTCTCTTATCTATGATGTAAACAATTCATCATATAGGATACAGATAGAATATAAACTAATAATAAGACAATTACTCTGTAACTCAGTTGTTCCCACTTTGTCCCTGGGTCACTAAAAGATGAAGGGAATTTCTGAAATATTTCACAACTGCCATCTATCTCCTGAAGATTGCAGCAGCTCTCTCTGGTTGGCTGCCCTCAAAGAAACTGCCTGCACGGCAGAGCCTGAATGTCGTCAGCCCTACCTTGCTGCACATGCAGCTGTGCACTGCTGCCCACAGTGCCCCCCGGAGGCCTCCTCCACAACTGCTGGAGAGAAGGAGGCACAGGAAGAAAGTGGATGACTATTCTTCATCTGCTGACCTTCCACCTGCTAATTTTGACTTGACCACTCTAAAGCTTCTGGGGTAAGCTGCAGCCACAATGGGTGATAAGATGACTTCCAGCCCCTGGATGTCCACCTCCATTTCTCATTCATTTTCCTGGCCTTTGGCTTGGGATGCCAAGGTCAGGGCAGCTGCTCTTTGAGGTTATTTTGTTTCAGTTCCTGACAGCCACTCAGCTGGAAGACTGATCTTCTGCTTCCTCCTTTCCTTCCCACAGGCAGGCCAGACTAATGGTCACCTGACTGCAGGTCTCTGCTGAAATTTTGCAACCTTCCTGAGAACTGCTCCTCACCCCTCTTCCGGCTTGTCTTGTGGTGGAAGAGGAGTTGGATAGAAATAACTCATGATGGCATGGGAAGAGCATGAGCTTTGCCACTTACTGACGATGAGGTCTTGGGCAAGTACTTAACCTCTTTGTAGCTCCATTTTCTCATCTACAAATTAGGGTTAATAACCCTGCCCTTCCATGGGAGGGTTGTTGTTGCAAAGTACCTATCCCATAGTAAGCAGTAATAGCTACTAGATTCTACGTCACGGGTACTTAAAATCTAGTTGGCAGAGGCAAACAAAAATAAATATCCTTGTATCAATATAAACCATCAGTAGAGGACATGGGTTTGAGTGATTTTTCTAGTGGTTCTTGATGATCTCCCTTCCCAATCTCTGACCAGATTGAGATCACTTTCTTTTTCCAAGCATTTGTTTGTGCTTGGAGAACTCATCTGTGGTTGTACTACAAAGCTCTCTATCCATCCACAGATGGAACCCAGAGAGTTTATCCAATTGACTCCGGCCCAACCAGTCTGAATATGTAGAGTCTACACAATGTTTCAGAAATGCCACTGAACAAACAGAGGCAGCTAACACAGTATGTTGGGTGAGGGATTGGTGATTACAGCGTGAGGCTCTGCCAACCTGCCATCTACCTATGGCCCTATCTGTCAGTCAATAGCAGCCACGGAAAAAAAACTATTGTCATCTGACCCTGGGAAACTGCAGACTCCATCAGTAACAGGCAGTTGTAGCCAACAGACCCCAATAAGAAACAGCTATCTTTATTCTGAGTTGCACGATTGTTTTCCAGTGACAATTGACTCAACAATTAATCCACAGTAATCAACGCACATTTTCAAATAAGAAAAAAATCAACAGGTAAAACAGTACCTATTTCTCCATTTTCACCATTATATTTTACCACTAAAATAATTTTTTAGAGGGACCTCAACCTCTTAATTTGACTCACATTCAAATCCACACAAATTACTTAATCATAGGCAGAAGTTAAAGTATAAAAGCATGGATCGTCTATAATAAAAGGACCCATCCACTGGTTCTGATTCCAGCAGCAATTCAAACAGCCACACAAAATGGCCCAAGCCCGCCACACAGGAGGAAAACATAGTTGGCTGCACCTATGAAGAGGTCCATCTGCCCAAGATCTCTCCCAGACAGCCACAGAGCCTCAAATCCAAACTATTGGGTAGATTTTTTTAGGGTGAAGGAATTGCTGCCAGGAAGCCCTAGTTTAAGTGGCCCGGGTGTGTTTGGGTTTGCAGATCTGCACTTTTAACCAGCCCTTTATTGCATTACCTGGTTCATAATTTCTGCAAATTGTGGAAGTTTACTCAGCTCCACAAGATTCAGCCAAGTCATGTCAAGGATCCAGCGGAAGGGTTTGGGAGGGCAGGCTTTCAGATCCAGAGCGGCTCCCCCTGCGGAAGAGCATCAGATGGGGTGAATTGGGCGAGCCTGTACTTCATTTTTTCAAATTTATTTTCCAAATAATAAAAGCAAGATAGCCACATTACTGAAAATGTGGAAAATTGGAAAATAATATTACAGAAAATGTGAGTTTTTTTTTTTTTTTTTTTGAGACGGAGTTTCACTCATGTTACCCAGGCTGGAGTGCAATGGCGCGATCTCGGCTCACCGCAACCTCCGCCTCCTGGGTTCAGGCAATTCTCCTGCCTCAGCCTCCTGAGTAGCTGGGACTACAGGCACGCACCACCATGCCCAACTAATTTTTTGTATTTTTAGTAGAGACGGGATTTCACCATGTTGACCAGGATGGTCTCAATCTCTTGACCTCGTGATCCACCCGCTTCGGCCTCCCAAAGTGCTGGGATTACAGGCTTGAGCCACCGCGCCTGGCCTGTGGGGGTTTTTTTAGTACATTTCCTTGAAGTCTTAGTGTTTTATTTACTGATTTATATCATCTTATAAGGTACAAATAACAACTCTTGTCATTTTTCCCTGCAAAGAATTTTTCTCAAGTGGTTATAACTGTTTGCTTTTTAATTTATTTTAAACAATATAAAATTTATAATTTTGATATAAATGAATGTTGATCTTTTCATGTGTGAGATTTTTAAATATCATTTGTTAGTTATTACTCCTCCAGAAGCTTGCCATTCAACGCCACTTGTTACCAGATCAAACAGATAAATAAATAGATGGATGGGTTAGGGTTAGGGTTAGGGTTAAGGTTGGAGTTGGCATTAGGGAAGAATAGTAGGAGAAAGGGAAGCTAGAGATAGAAAGAAAGAGGGAGGGAAGAAAGAAGTGAAGGAGGAAATGATGTAACAGATCTATGGGTTTTTAGTGGATGACTAACATTTAAATAATTTATCTATTCAGTGATTGAACAAATATTTATTGAGCACTCTCTAGATATTTGGCATGTTCCAGGCACTGGGGGTATAGCAGAGAAAACCCAACCAGGCCCTCGCATTTACAGAGATTGAATCCGGTAGAGAATGAGTTATAGCATTGGATCATATTCTGAAGCAAATCACAGGTCAAATGAGTATGGCCAGCATTATCCAATGAAATACATAATTACATTTACAATTACAAAATTCCTCTACTGTATATCTTTAGTAATGTATCATAATAATTCCAGCTCTACTGTTGCTTAATTCAGATGTATGCAAAATAGTGATTCTTGAACTTATAAATCTTATCATCTTCCTTAGGAACTCATCATTCCTTCCAGTTTCACAAATCAACTCACGGACCAAAAAAGAGGGATGAGTGGAACTACACGTCTTTGCTCTCCCTATTTAGCATCGTCCTGAGTAGCTGTATGAACTAAAGTCCTTTTTTAATGTAAACCCTTTGCTCCACCACAGAGCACTTGGGAATCTGCGGCTCTGAGTGCAACACCTTTAGAACAACGTGTAAACCTTCTTCTCACCGTCTGTCCCGCTGCAACCTGGAGACAGAGGAGGTCTCTCTGGAGCGCCAGTATTGCTAATATAAGAGTCACTGGTGTGAGAAGCAACCACTAGAGAGAGCCATCTGCAGCTCTAACAGATTCTGTTGCTCTAACACAGAGACAAACTCACCCTTTTCTTCTTGGTTGTTTCCAAATAAATGTTTTCATGTAATCCTGAGCCTTAGAGACACCAATAGAAGAAATCTAAGCTACCTTTGTGTTTCCAAACATATTGAGCATCTAAACTAACCCAGAACAATGACAGCCCTTTCCATTCCCCAAATATCCTGGCTCTGTCACTTACTAGCTACATAAACTTGGACAAAAAATATGAACCCCTCTCAGTTTCCTCATCTGACAAATACATGTCTAATAGAATCTACCAGATTGGTTGCTGTGACGGTTAAATATATTAATGTATCTAGAACAGTGCAGAACCATAATAAAAGCTATGAAATCATTAGCTGTTTTTCTGACATTCATTCTCTCTCTCTCTCTCTCTCTATTTCTCTCTCTCTTTTTCCCTGCTTGGAAGGTCCAGGTCCAGTCCAATTTGGAAGGCAAGAAAAGAACCCCTAAGGTGTCTTTTTGTTCATAGTCCATGACAAAAAAAAAAAAAAAAAAGATAATATCTTTCTAAAATAACCAGGCAGGGAAGAAAGCTACATCCATTGTTCTATAATGCAGGATTGCCCCTGGTATCCATTTAATTTTTCAAAGTGTTCTGACATTTTTGGTTGAAGAAGAAAGTCAAAGCCACATTCCAAATATTGCAGAAAGCAAGTAGTAATTGAAACGAAAAGAATTGTCACTCTTGGAAAATCAAACATTTCTGCTATTCTTCCACTCTCCCCATTAAGTATTGAGTTCAAAATGATTTTTAAAAGTGTCTAAGATCTAAGGACCATATTTGTTAACTTTGTAAAAAGCATTAAAAACAAAGTCATACCATCTTTTAAAAAATAATTCAGTCAAAATGTAAGCTAGTTCAAAACTAAAACAAATTTTATAATAAACTTTTTTGCTTGAAAGGAAAAACTCTTATTGCTGAGCCAATTGTACTGCTGTCAATCAACCTAACATACAATCCCAAATTAATCTTCTTAAAGCACTGTTCTGTTCATGCCACATCCCTGCTCATAAAATGTTCGATGGCTCCCTACTGACAACTAAATTAAATCCAAACTCCTCTCACTAGCTCTCCTGGCCCTATACAGTATAGTTCTCCCTGACTTCAGTTTTATGAAATGCGGTCACAAATGTGCTCACACCACAACCCATGTGTTCAGCCTTATTTTTCTGTAACAAATCTAATCCTCCCCGATGAATTCCCACCCCACTATGTTGCCATGTTTCTCAGTCTCCTCTGATTTACCCACCCTCTTTCAATAACCCAGTCTCTTTTGGGTAGTAGCTCTGGTCTGGCAGGTTGGTGGGTGGGAGAGGAGAGACAGGGTGGGATTATGTCTTAGTGAAACCATGCCTCAGGTCTGCAGGCTACTCTCCAGGCTCCACATGCCTCAGTTGCAAGCTGGGTCCCTGTACTGTATCCTCTGCGCTACGACAAGTGTTATCTGACCTGTCGGGGCCCTGGGCTGCAATCCACTGCCCCAGCACCTGGCTTTGGTCCTTTGTTTCCAGGTACAAAGTTCTCTTTCTCTGCAGCTTTTTGGTTTGACCTCCAGTCTCTGCTACGTGCCAGTCCTCTCAACACCTGAATGTCACCACATTCCTACTTGCCAAGCCTCAGGCTCACCAGTCCAGCCACTCCCCTGCTTCCATGGTGGGCATGGCACTGGGCAGAATGCAGGGGCATCTCCTACGTGGAAGTTTCTCTAGCACTCTCCTCTACTCACATCCCTCAGGAGGCAAGGAAGAGATGAGATCTTGCACCCAATCCCCTCTTTCTATCTCTGATCTTTTTTCTTCCCACCATCCATTGTGGACCAAGGCATCAGGTTTCCCACTTCTTTCTATGTCATATGTGCCTCCTTCCCAGGTGCCATATTTATTAGCAGATGGCATTCAGGAAGCAAAGTCAGTTCACCAGTAAGGAAAACTTCAAAAGTATACTTTGCCTCCACTCGCATTGCACAGTATCTTAGTCCATTCAGCCACTATCACAAAATACCATAGGCTGGGTGGCTTATAAACAATAGAAATTTATTTTCCACAGCTCTGGAGGCTGGGGAAACTAAGATCAAGACCCTGGCAAATTCACTGTCTGGTGAAGACCCATTTAGTGGTGCATAGATGGCTCCTTTCACTGAGTCCTGATGTGGTAGAAGGGGGAATCAGCTCCCTCAGGCCTCTTTCCTAAAGGCATCAATCCCATTCATGAGAGCTCTGCACTCATGACCTAATCACCTTAGGCCTCATAATATCACCACCTTGAGGGATAAGACTTCAACAGATGAATTTTGAGGGGACACAAACATTCAGACCATAGTGCATAGACAGAAGGCTCCCAAGATTGTGGGGGCCATTTTGCTGCCACTGCTGCCTGGATTCCAGTGTGCTTCAATGGCCCCCTACCCTTCTGCCCAGCGTCCTAAAACACCAGGGCTGTAGCCCAAGTCCAAATGAGGGCTTAAAGATTTTTGAAATGAGGTAAAATAGGTTTCTAGATTGAGTAAATTCATTTGTTTTACTTAAACATCCCCAAGACCAAAACCTCATACATCTGGACACTCGGGAGTGCCTCCTTCCCACCCCAGATAGTGCTCCTTGTACCATACCACACTGCCTTAAGACATCAACTTCCCCAAGTGCATTAGACCAGCGAAAAAGTGTGAACTAGATGATACATTTAAACGTCCTTTGAACTACCGGAAATAAAACCTGTTTCACGAAAAAGGCACAAAGGAGAAATTTCAGATATTATGCAAAATAGTTTGCAAAGTTTTCCACAGTGGGTAATCTAACCTGAATCTGAAGAAGGAATTAAATGAAGTAGAGAAACAGTAAGAAGTTACAGGGACTGCCTGTTTAATATAAATACGATGCAGAGGACAAAAGTGTAGCAGGTTCTATCACCTTGTAGGGTGGAAATACTCCACATTTTTCCCCTAGATTATCTTTCATTCCCATGGCTTTGGTTGTTATTTCAGTGCCCCATCTTTGTAACTGCCTGACTTCCATCTAGGTTATCTTTTCTAATTGTTTTCTGGATAGCTCAAATTTCACGTCTGTAGTCATCACAGCTGGTCACAAACCTGTTTCCTCGCTTTTCAAACACATGGGGAATTGCATTTCCCTGTTCTTTCTGAAGTTAGATGTGGCTGTGTGTCTTGCTTGGCTAAGGAAATAGGAGCGTAAGTGACATGTGTCACTCGTGGGGTAACTTTTTTTTTTTTTTCCTTTATAGAGACGGGGTTTCACCATGTTGGCCAGGATGATCTTGATCTCTTGACCTTGTAATCCGTCCGCCTTGGCCTCCCAAAGTGCTGGGATTACAGGTGTGAGCCACCGCACCTGGTCATCGTGGGGTAACTTTTAAGGGCCAGTGTGCAGTCTGCCACATTCTTGCCCCTCTGCCATAGTAGTTATGGAAGCAATTTGGATTTCAGCATGTTGGAGAGGTAACATGAATGAGAAGTACACCTTGGTTGTGTTAAGTCACTGAAATTCTGGGAATGATTTTATAGCAGCAAAACCTGGCCGATTCTGCCTAAATAAGTCCTAAAATCACATCCAGCAATCCCCCACTCCATCCCTCCTCAAACCAGCTCCTTTTCCAACCAACCAGACCAGAAATCTCTACATAGACTAGAAATCTTAGACTCATTTCTGCCTGCTCTCTTGGCTCTTGTATGCATCGGTTTTGCCATTTTACCTCCCTAATCTCTCATATCCTTATCTCCCCGTATATACCCGTTGCCTTTACCCTGGGTTGGGAATGCATTCCTGCAGTTGGGAAGATTAAAAGAGACTCCCTTGAACCTCTTTTCTTTGATCCTTACACGTGTGCCAAGTTCATCTTCCTAAATGACCATAATGACACATCACCACCTTACACAATTCCGTTTGTTACCAGATCTAGAAAATCCTTCCTATAGAAATCCAAGCTCTCCACAGGATGTCACCAGTTTACATGTCCAGCTCTATTTCTCAGTATGCCTCCGTATCCACCTTTCATTTTAACAAAACCAGACTGTTTCCTACAACTTAGATACGCCACTCATTCCCCTTTTTCATACTGTTCCATTTCACCATGAATGTTTTCCTCATTTCTACCTCTTCAGGGTCCACTTCAAATGCCACTTTCTTTTTGGGGTATGGGGAGCCAGAAGATAATTGCTTAAATCATATAGAGCAAAAAACACAAGAAAAAGATTGAAACATTTTATCATGTATCAGACAGTTCCCCAATTCATGGCTTAACCCACGAAAGTATATTTTCTCAGAAACTTTTTTTATTTCACCAACTACATGTAATACCTCCCTCCTTTGCATCTTAGCTCTCTTATAGCAGGTGATTCTGCCTTACTTTGGAGTGGTTTTCTTTGTTTGTTTTGAGAAGGAGTCTCGCTCTGCTGCCTGGCTGGAGTGCAGTGGCAAGATCTCGGCTCACTGCAATCTCCATCTCCTAAGTTCAAGCGATTCTCCTGCCTCAGCCTCCCGAGTAGCTGGGACTACAGGCACACCACCACACCCAGATAATTTTTGTATTTTTAGTAGAGATGGAGTTTCACCATGTTGGCCAGGATGGTCTCTATCTCTTGGCCTCATGATCTGCCCACCTCGGCCTCCCAAAGGGCTGGGATTACAGACATGAGCCACTGCGCCCAGCCACTTTGGAGTGATTTTTAAATTATCTTTATCTCCATTATGAGGCTATTAATTCTTTTCAAGCAATATCTGGTTTATTCTTATATCCCCAAAGCTAGTGTGGTGGGTTTGCATAGCATGTGCTCAGTAAATGCTTGTGTAACTAAACTGAAATGAAAATTCCATTCTTTTGTCTTCGTAACTATACCTTTAACATGGAGATATGCAATGAATAGGATTAACTTCAAATATGAAACACAAGCGAGCCTTTTCTTGCAGTCTGAAAAATCATTATACTCCCTTGCTGAAGGAGTGGCTCTCCTGCTAAAGAAAGCCATCACGGGCATCACTTTTCCTCAGTCTGGCAATTGATTCTCCTACGCATGGGTAGCAGTGAATAAACTGAATGAAATTATGTGACTAAAAATCACAGAGCTGGTGCAGACCTGAATCTTAAGTAACCAGGGCAAAATGAATGAAAAACAGAAAAGAGGTATTAAAAATAATAAAACTTCTTTAAACTTTTATTGGAACATCATTTCCCTACGGTATCACAGAAATGGGTTTACAGTATATCAAACAGCATATCAAAAGCAACAACCTCCACACAGCACATCTGTATCCCACACACTTTACCTTTAATCAGAGCTTGAAATTCTCTGTGCTTAACTGTCCCTCTCTGAAGGTCAATCTTTAAGGTCATGAGGAGTACAAACAGGAATTTGTGGTTTTCATATAGGCCTCTGACAGAGTATGTAAAAACTTCATATGTCAGATACTCAATGATATTTGTAATTCTCTTTTGAGGTAGTGGTGACTTTTCAGATCTGCAATACATTTTAAAAATCAAGGAAGCAACAGGCAATTTCTTTTTTAAAAAACTTTTATGTTCAGGGGTACCCGTGCAGGTGTGTTACACAGGTAAACCTATGTCAGGGGGATTTGTTGCACAGATTATTTCATTACCCAGGTATTAAGTCTAGTACCCATTAGTTATTTTTCTTGATCCTCTCCCTCCTCCCAACCTCCACCCTCTGAGAGGCCACAGTGTCTGTTGTTCCCCTCTATGTGTTCATGCGTTCTGAGCATTTAGTTCCCACTTATAAGCGAGAGTATGCGGTATTTGGTTTTTCGTTCCTGTGTTAGTTTGCTAAGTATAATGGCCCTCAGCTCCATCCATGTTTCTGCAAAGGACATGAGCTCATTCCTTTTTAGGGCTGCATAGTATCCCATGTTGCATATGCACCACCTTTTCTCTATCCACTCTACTGTTGATGGGCATTGAGGTTGATTCCATGTCTTTGCTATTGTGAATAGTGAGAAAGCAATTTCTAAAAGAGTAGAAATGCAAGCAAACTTCTAAGTTACCACTTTTGGGTGAAGGTAGTGAGGACTCACCTGGCCATGGACTGGTCAAATAACTTCAAGAACTGGGCCAGTGACGTCTGATACATGATGTTGACCATGCTCATCTCTGTGATGAGGAAGTAGAGGATGCTTCCACGGGTGGCTGCAGGCCGGAACTCCTCCTGAGCTGTGTTGATCTTGATCTCAGTTTCTGCAGCCACATGCAACTTTTCACTTACCTCAGCTGCTGTCTGCTTGGTAGTTCGAAGGACACCAATGAGAGATTCGTCATCTACCAATGAGCCTAAAGTTCAAAACAGGAAAACTGTAGTACACAGATGGAAAAGTTGCAAAGAAAGATATGTCTCTTCTGAAAAAAAAATACTGTTAGTTTTCAACTTGATGCCTCCAAAGTCAGGAAGACTACTGATACAGTAGAATCTTAAGACACTAAAAAGCTTCTAGTCCAACTACCGCCCAATGCCTGAATCCTTCTAAACATGCCCACTGACATGCTATCCCCCACTCTGCCTAAACATCTGCAAAAAAGCAAAAGACCCATTTGATTGGGTCTTTGTATGTCTCAAGATAATGATCATGTCTCCAGTGGTCTCTGCTCTTCCCTGTGCGATAGGCTTTTCCCCCATTGTCATCTTGGTGGCTTGCCTTAAAGTGTCACAGTTTGTCCACGCCACTTGTCTCAGGGTGTGAGCTGACCTGAACACTTCACACATGGGCTGACTTGCTGGTAGTGGAATGGTACACTCTTTCCTCACACTGCTTTAGTAGAATAGTCATTGCTACAGAAAACTCTTATCCCTCTGTTCCTAACAAGAGCAAATCAAGGTATAGTGAAAATATCTCACCAGGAAGAGAAACTCAAATTTTTAGTTTTGCCTTTCATTATTAATAGAAATAGTGCATGTTTATGACAATGAAGTTGGCTTTAAAATGAAAATCTAAGGAGACACTTTGGATGTACCGAGCTAATAGTCCCCGTATCTGCAAGCAGCAGCAGTCTGGCCTACCCTAGAGTTCTGGATGGCAGGCAAGTGCTGCAGGAAGGGCTGAGTTACTCTGACAGGCATGCTGTGTCTAATGTGGAAGTCCAACTTGGGATTAACCTCAAGGAAAGAGGTCTTCATCCAGACAACTTCACTAGCAGGAGCAGTGCAAGTCGGTAAATAAAAGAACTTTTCACTGAGCTCACCATAAAGGTACAGTATTTCTGGAAGGTCAGATTTGTTTAAAAAACATTCCGGGATTAAGGTGCAGTTGGGAAGTATTCATTCACTGCTCATAAGGTAGCAGAATTCAGGTTGCTGTGATTTGCCTGCTACAGAACAATATGATATTTGTTTATTTTAATTTTCTTTGGATAAAATTTTCTTCTTATATACTGCAGAGAGAGTACATCCTCAAATTGGGGTGTGACATGATTATTTGGCTGCCCAGAGGAGAACCTATCTTTGCCATCGAAAGTGGGAGGTCAAGCTAAGTCGAGGGTAAGCCAGGCCGTTGGTACCCAAGCTCCTCTGTTGCAGATTACGTGTATCATAACCCATTGCAGTAACTGCATTTCAGTGTCAAGTGAAAGAGTCAATCTAAAAAAAAAAATAGATTGAGCACATTAGTTTCTTTGGGGCAAGCAAATTAACCTATAATGAGTTATGTAGCTCTATCGGGAGACCTTACTTTTCTCAGGAGAGAGCAATTATATCAAGAAAATTGTGTTATTCTCAGATGCTCAGTATCTATTTACTAATTCAAAAATCAGATTCTCTGCCTCCCCTCTTTAATGTCCAGATGGAAATTGCCTTGCTTGTTTTTGCATTGATAACATGACTATTTCCTAACATCTATAGTCATGAGGGCATTGAAAAGAGTGTAAATGAAATCCTTATTCAGAATCCATTATTTTATTACTTCTTAATAACACAATACCTTTTGTGGCACTTAATTTATAGAGGAGATTATCTTCAAGTTCTTTCATCTTCCGCTTATTAAAAGTAACATCCTCCAAAAGTTTAACCCTTTCAGACTCTAACTCCTGTCATTAAAAAAAATAACATTGGAACTATAATTACAAGTTATTACAGCAAATCCAACTCACTAGTGTTTATTAACAATGTTAAAAGTTCAAACCAAAGTACCTTTTGACTGACAGAAGAAATTACTATCATTAGCCAAATCTATATCCATATTTCTGTTTCTGTGGAAATTTTTTTAAAAATTATGCCCACTGTCATTAAGGTTTCACAGTACTTATGCTGGCAGGCATGAGACAATTCTACTAAATAATTTTGCCCAATTACCCCAAGCTCTCTTGCCAGCTTGAAGTTTATAAATAGCATGCCCTGTTCTCTTGGCCCTGTTTCCATACTGCTTTTGCAAGAAATGCTATCTTTATTTGCATTCAGAACAAGTAGAAACAAAAAGGCGCTGATACCAAGAAACCAAGGAGTTACTCAGATTAAATGTGAGCTCTTGGCCTGGGACCTGCCTATGGGAGCACCAGGTTACCTGGTTTGGCGCAGTCAGTTGTCAATACAAACCCATTTTCCATTTTATTTGTATCTCCTTCTACAGAGGGGCAAACTTGAATGTTTACAGGGTATTTTTTTGTTGCATAAAATGTTTACTTTGAAAATTATATTTTGAAAAAAATTCAAGCATTCAAAAAATTTGCGAGACTAGTACAAGGAACTTTCATATAGCCTTCACCTAGATTCACCAAATAACATTTTGCTTTATCACCATCTCTCTATAGAATACTTAATATTGTCATTATTGTTGTTGTTATTATTATTTCTGCTGAATCACTTGTGGGTGTCACGTCCTTTTACCCCTAAACGCTTCAGCAAATCTCTGAAGAATCAGGTCATTCTCTTACATAAGCATAGTCCAATATTCAAATTCAGGAAATTTAACACTGATACCGATCTCAATAATATTCCTTACAACAGTTTTTTTCTGATCCTATAGAGAATCACATGTTGTACTTTGAATTATGTTAAAATAAGCTGTTTTAAAATTTCTTATTTGGGAAAGTTTCTGGGAAAACACCTTCAGAAATTTCACCATTTTCAGAAAGTCTTCCTGGACGAGTCAATCAAAAGCCATAGCACAGCCTTTATCTGTATACCTAATACGGTTTGTTTTGTTTTGTTAGGTTTTTTGTTTGTTTGTTTGTTTTAAGACGGAGTTTCCCTCTGCTGCCCAGGCTGGAGTGCAGTGGCATGATCTGTGCTCACTGCAATCTCCAGTTCCCAGGTTCAAGTAATTCTCCTGCCTCCACCTCATGGGTAGCTTGAACGACAGGCATGCACCACCACGCCAATTTTTGTATTTTTAGTAAAGACAGAGTTTCACCGTGTTGGCCAGTCTGATTTTGAACTCTTGACTTCAGTTAATCCACCCATCTTGGCCTCCCAAAGTGCTGGGATTACAGGCGTGAGCCACCACATCCATCCTCTAATATAGTTTGTATCACAATCTATCAGTAGGTTATTTCCCTCCAACTACAGTTTATGCATCTAGAAGGCAGATGCATAAACTTGTCCTGTTTATTTTTGTGTTATTGACAGTACTTATCTTGAGGCTTTGTAGAGAAGAAACTCAATCCAATAAATAATTGTCAAATTGGAATGTGCTGAATTTAGTCCAACTTCTTTATTTTACATTTGGGAAAACTAAGGGACCCAGAAATAGGAACTGTGAATAGCAAGGGTATTAGGCTGGTCTCTGCCAGTAACTAGCTTAGCTGTATGTTATAACAGCCTGCTACCTTTGTCGTCCAACTCCAAGGCCAGTGTTATTGCCATTGGACTTACAGGGTGGCAGGATTTGATGGGGTCATGAAGAGTGTGGCTGTATTTGCAAAGAAATAACGAGTTAATCATTTTCATTAAAATGGTCACCCCTGGGTGGCAGTATAGGAATACATGGACAAAATGAAATCATGTTAGCTTCCTTTTTTGTATAATATGGAAAAATAGATATCATAGCATAGTGGACTCTTGCTAAACTTCATAGCAGGACCTGTAAAGTTTATCTAGAAGGCTTGACAGGCTGCAAAGTCCATGTGCTATTATAGATGAAGACCCTTATTTTCTTTGCTCCATTTGCTCATCTGTAAAAATGTGGGTGTAATAGTAGGATTGTTATGAGGGTTAATATAATGTTTAGAAGACCCTCCTGTGTATTAAATGTGCATTTTTTTTCCTCCAGCAAGGCTGCTATGTATATCTTAGCACATCTCTTGAAGGGGAAGCTACAGAATAAGAAGAGTGAGTATGGGGAGCTCTGGGGACCTTTAGACAGTGGTGCTGCTTGACTTCGGGAGGTTAGTGCAGCCTGCGTGGAGATCTAGACCAGCGAGGAATCATCTCAAAATAAACCAACGGCACCAATTACACCACAAAGGACTAACTGTCAATAGTTAGCAGCATGTGATCCTGAGAGACAATAGGAACAGTGAATTGCTAGGCCAGGGCCATCCTGCCTGGCTGCGGAAGAGGAACAGATTCCCTTCCTGGACTGCATGAGCCCCAGGTTTGTTGGAAACTAAGACCAAACAACTAAGAGAGTCAAAGCTAGGACTGTGACCTTTTCACACCACCAGACCGGCCAGCTTTCAAGAGCCTGTGCGTAAGATGAACTGTCTATGAGCCAGGTAGGATGTTGCCTTTCACTGAGTCTGTTTCTTTGGTGCCTGTGTCATTTCCCGATGTCTTTCCTGTGTGTGGAACCCTGGATTCACACCTCCTCCTTTCTCTCCTCTGTCTGTTTTCCTCTCCTGTCATTCTTTTTCTCATCCATCCACTTCATGCCTTGCCGCTCTTATTTCTAACCTTGCCTTTGCCTTGAATCTTTAATTCTAAAATTAATTACCTTTAAACAGATATAAACTTTCTCATATTTTATGCAAATGTACTTTATAATGCAGATACATAAAATTATATTTTTATGCAATTATATTTCATGCCTAAAACTTAATGTTTTCTGAGCTTCAACTTAAAAATTAGTTTAATCTTATATCAGTCTCCTTAAAATCTTCCAGTCCTAAGTTGTTCTTCATTTTATTAGAACCCTCAGTTAGACTTAATTTCTTGCTTTAGTGCAAATTTCATTTAATTAAAAATAAAGGTATGGCTCCCTATATCATTAGATTATGGATTGTAGTAGTTGAATCTACCACAGTGGAAACAAGAGCCATTCAGAGCAATTTCTTTTTCTCTAAATTATTGTTTTATTGAATTTTGCAGGTGTCCCCAAGACAAGGACTAAAGATATGAGAGTCAGTATGCCTAAAGGTTTAAAGACAGAAGTAGAAAGAGGGGTGTGTGTGTGTGTGTGTGTGTGTTTGGTTGTAGGAGAGAAGATGAGTAATGTGATTTCCTGACAAGAATCAAGAATTAAGGCTGCAAAAGAAATATTTATTTTAACAAGGGTGAATATGATTTAACAAATTTTTTTTCTTTTTCACATACTTAGCAATTTCTCAATACATTTTAGGCATTTATTAAAAGCAGCAATTCTTTACCTTGAGAGAGAGATTACCTGTTTCTCTGTTAGAATGACTCTTCTTAGTAACTGATTCTCAAGTCCTTTCATTGTAACAGTGAAATCAATGACTGAAGTTTTAGCATTAATCTCTGGGGTAAAGGCAGGGTTTGGTAACTTGGTAGTAATGTAAAGTTTAAATGTATCCATGATATCACATTCCTTATCACCAACTTTCACCTATATAAATTCACATATAAAATTAAAAACAGCTTAAAGGAGAGGGAAAGGAACTTGGGTTCAGTTTAGTAAAGAATTTGCCTGTCAGTGCTGTGAAGCTTGAATAAATTGGGAAGGAAAGTTATAAAATTTTAATCACTGATATCAAATAATAAAGCCTATTCAATTTTGAAGAATTTAGAATTGTAGTCCTGCCTGGAGATGTTTTTAGCAATGACACCAAGCAAATCAAATGAAACAGTTATCCAAAACAAATGGTGAACAAAGGAAAATTTACAGCTAAGATTTGACTTTAAAATTTTAGCAAGTACTTATCACCCCCATCAATTGTTTGTAGTATAGCCATTTTTCTCCCAGTTAAGAAAACTGTTTCCTACTATGGAAATTTGCTGTGTTTCTAGGAAATTTTTTTTTTTAATTTCATAGATATATCTGAGGCATATTTGACAACAGAAAAAGTTAATGTAATTTTCAAAGAAAAATCCCAACTTTTTTCAAAAAGGTAACATTTACCTTCAACACTACTATTTGCAGCATGTTGGAAAAAAATTGGGTTTTGCTATCTAAAAATCAGGTGGCATCACAGAATTTTTAAATGACTTAAATCTCTGATTAATCTTAATTCTACATGTGATTGAAAACATCAAAAAGGCCACCATCATATTGTAAGGCACTATGCCTTCATATTGCAGATAAAAATCTAGGATCTTTTAAAAGAACTTCAAGAATAGTGATTCTACAACCTCCTTTGGCATATTAAATATGGCATATAAGGTAAGCCAGATACAGATAAATACCATATGATCTCACATATGGAACTGAAAAAGTCAAACTCATACAAGCAGAGAATAGAACAGTGGTTGCCAGAGGGACAGGGGATGGGACAAATGGGGAGACATTAGTCAAAGGGTATAAACTTTCCATTATAAGATGAACAAGTTCCAGGCATCTAAGGTACAGCATGCATGGTGATGGGTGTGCTAATTAGTTTGATTGTGGTAATCATCATACAATGTATATGTATACCAAATTATCACATTGTACAGTTTAACTATACACATTCTTTACTTATACAGTAAATATTTTTTAAATGCAGTTCAAAATTGTGAATGAGTCCATAATATCCGAGCAAATCAACAAAATTTTGTGCTTAGCTTCTTTTTATGAAAAAGAGAAATTCTACTCTCTAATCTCATAGACTGATGCTAACCTTCAGAACACTAACTGGTTTTTATTCATTTTTCCCCCTATAAACTCATAAAGGCTTAAGTATATATTGGATGCTCCATAAACCTTGGCTGCGTGAATTATTTAAAATATGGCATATAAAAGATTTCCATTATGAAGAAAATTTTTCTGAATAAATCTGTCTTAGTCTAATGAGAAAACATTCGTTCTTTACTTACTCAATGATATTCATGAAATTAAGTTGTCCAAAGTGAAAAACACCCAATCAGAAATGCTGTTATAAAACCAAAGAAACTGAAAGGTAGAGAATGACACCAATGAAAAATGAAACCCTTATACATATTGAAAACAATTCATGTTATCACCAACATTTGAGAACAATATTCCATTGCTTACAACAAAGCCAATGAGTTTAGACTGAAAATAAAGAGATAAATGAACAAATCAATCTCTATAGCCTTTATTAAAATATCATTTTCCCCAGGGAAGAAACCCGGGTTATTTTGTTAAAATGTATACATATGTGGCTTGCAAAACCATATCAAGAGTTGCTTAAACATATATATATATATATATATATGTTGTGTGTTGCACTAATATATAAAACCAGACAATGTGTTTCCTTAATGTTATTTAGTTTCAGCTAAATGACTGCTCTTATCAAAATATTGCCCCCCACCAGTAATTTTTATATACTATAAAAATTAAAGAAACATTGACATATCAGTTTGGAAATAGTTTTTTTCCAATGTACAGGTACTACTGCCTAAAGGAAATTGCATTTGCTGCTATGCTCAAAAAGATAAGTAGATGTCACCATTGTTCTTTTCTTTCTTAATTTTTTTTTTTTTTTTTTTTTTTTTTTTTTTTTCAAAGCTCACCTTGAAAGTGGTGCCAGATTTAATAAAATTCTTTTCTAATACATTATCCAAGGCTGGATCCAGCTCTTCACGAATGTCCTCAATGAGAAGAGGTCGGCCCAAGGAAAGGCTGTCCTCCAAGTGTGTGCGGAAATATTTATGGTTCAGAGATGTCACCTAAACAGAAAGAACCCTCGTTGGTTTACCAGTGTTACGAAGAATGTGCCCATCACTAAGGGAAACCAAGAGATTTATTGGACAGGTAACCAAGAATTTTAAGGGTAATATAGGAACCCTTACCTTAAAAAATTAAAGCAACACACAAAAATTAATTTCCGAAACATGGCAAGTCATGATTTTGTTGAATGGAGTCTGGATGTGTAATGGGGTCTCTCTAATCAAAAGAGAAGCAGCAAGGGGCATTGCTTTTATGGAATGTCAGGGTTCTGCTGCTGACAGACAGAAGAGAATAGTCAAGGATAAATCCTTTCAAACTTACATAGCTATAATTGCTCAAAGAAAGCAAAGCAACTTGCATATTTGGATATTCATTTATTTTCTCAAGACCCCTATGAGATGAACAAGTGATAAAAAGTAAACGAAAGAATATCAGAAACGATATATTGAGTCGCACTGAGGGTCTATCCATGTATTCTGTCTCCTATTGGCACTGGGAAGAATTTAATACTTTCTATAAAGTCAACCTAAAAGACTATACATTCACTTTATATATGCTTACATTTTTTAAAACTAAAATTCTGAATTCCTGGTTAGGTCCTCCATGTTTAAATTGATGTGTTTGTTATTAGTTAAAATAGACATACTATACTGGTTGATCTCTGCATGAACCAATTGGATTTAAACTCTTACTTCGCCTAGGATCCCTCCCTGCCCCCTGCCTAATTGTGAAGATTTCCAAAGGCTCATTTCTCAACTTTTTGTATCCTATCTTCTGAATCCAACTAATACCTTACGCTATTGTGGGTGCAGATCATAAGACACAAGGAAGAATCCACTGGGACAACAGGTGATTAGGAGACTAGAATTAAATATAGCTCTCTCAATTACTAAGATAAAAAGAAGATATAAAATGTAAAAACTAATTCAGCCTACTTTTGTCCTGTTTTGATTAAAAAGGAAATAACTAAAAAAAAAAAAAATTTTGGCCAGGCACGGTGGCTCATACATGTAATCTCAGTACTTCAGGAGGCCAAGGTGGTGGATCACCACCTTGGTGGTGAGTTTGAGACCAGAAGTTTGAGACCAGCCTGACCAACATGCTGAAACCCTGTCTCTACTAAAAATACAAAAATTAGCCAGATGTGGTGGCACATGCCTGTAAGCCCAGCTACTCAGGAGGCTGAAGTTCAATTGCTTGAACCTGGAAGGCGGAGGCTGCAGTGAGCCAAAATTGCACCATTGCATTCCAGCCTGGATGACAGAGCAAGACTCCATCTAAAAAATAAAAAATAAATAAAAAAGATTCACACATAAAGGAAGTTGTTTCCCCGGATGGATAGCTTTCTTTATACAAATAATGTGCTGTAAAGGCCTTCTGATAAGTTAATAAAGTAAATGAATCTAAACAAAGAGCTTTAACAAACTGAATAAACAAGGTGAAGAAAAGCACCAGTAAGACTATATTTGCTTATATCCTGTTTTATTTCTCAAGGGGTAAGTTCTATTTTTGTGATTTCTTTCCCAAGTAAGGAGATAATTATCTTCAATCATCCTCAATGTCTTTTACAAACTTGAAATAATATTTTGGAATCATAATTTCAGGTTTGTTTCACTTGATTTTTCTTGTGAAACACTTTGTGGTAGCTACCACCAGAGCCTGATTCACCTGCACAAAGACTGGTATTGGGCCTTTACAAGGTGGCCAATGAATTCCTGACAGGGAGGCTTGGTAAATGCATTCTCATTCCACAAGTCAGAGCTGTAAGTCCTGGACATGGCACTGATGGTAGCCTTGGCAAAGCTGTCAAGGTTGAGCACAGCCCTGGGCATATAAAGCATGCTTTGTTTTTTGTTTGCATGTGTTTGTACATGTGCTTATCCACATACTCAGAAAATAATACTATCTGAGTAAGGAGAATACAATTCGATCTGTTTCCACCTCAGCAGTAGCTGGCTTTTAAAATAAGCAAGTGTCTCAGGCATATTTCTGTTCCTTCAAGAAGGTTCCTAGGACTGGGTTCCATCAGGAAGGACATTACTGAAAACCATCAGTGAATGTAATCCTGAAATGGAGAGACAAAGCTATGGTGAGAAAAAATAGCAGCATTCATGGCCAAGTGATACAGGAGATTGCACTGAGCTAAGGATGTGTAGGCAAGGTTCTAGGAATAAGATTAGCAGGGAGATTGACAGCCAGGGGAGTCAAGGGGAATGGGGCCAGGGACAAGTTATAGTTGACCTGGCTACAGAAACTAAGAACAGAAGTGTTCTGGTATACCACATTTGTGCACTCCTGAAAATGTGGCTACTAAGAAGCTCTGTGGAAATGAACACTACTTCTTTTATCTATTCTCTTCTGTTTACACGGCCTAGTTCATTCTAGGGTTTCCCTGGATTTTTTTCAGTAAACATAGACTGACATATTGTGTTCTGGAGTATTGATGAAGTAGGGTACTTAGGTATGCTTCCCAGCACTAGGCTGTATCCACTTGCATGAGAAGCGCTGATCTCAGGAGGAAATCTTTCAATATTCCACCACTAAATATGATGTTTGTTATGGCTTTTTGTAAAAAGAAACTCTATCTAATTAAGGAAGATCCCTCCCAGTTTGCTGGAAATGTTATCATGAATGGGCATTGAATTTTACCAAGTGCTTTTTTTTTTTTTTTTTTTAACCTATCAAGATGACCACAAGATTTTCCTGGTTCTTTTTTTCCATAATGGTGACACACTTTGATTAATACACTTAAATTCAATAAATATCAGAATTCCTACTCAAAAAGAGCAGTGCAGAACATGTAAAGATGAATAAAACTTGGCCAAAAAGGAGTTCATGGTACAGTAGAAGTAAAAGATAAATGTGCAAAGGACAGCAATTTAAGACAGATTCGAAGTCCACAACAGAAGTGCGAACAAGACATTGTGAGGATTCAGAACAGGCTATATTGAGCTGGGCACACAGAAAAATTTTGATGGAGGTAGTGGTGGATGTGGACTTTGAAGAATAGCTGAGATTTTTATCTGGGATATAAGTGGAGGTTGGAGAAAGACATTTGGTTAGTAGAAATAGTATAAGCAAGTAGGTTAACTCTGGGAACACTGAATATCCCACCTTGGTAGTTGAATTAAAATATCAATAATAACAGAATCCCTAAGGGAATCAGGAATGTTAGAGTCCTGCCCTTGTCTACTCCTACCTTAAAATTAACACCTTATTAGATGCCAGCCCCAAAAACAGACTCAGTAAGCTACACGGCACCAAGACCCTGAGCAAGGTTGACATGAATGCTCTTGAACTGAGGGATCTCAATATTCTGTTTGCCACTTTCTGATAAGCTCAAACCCAAAGCCCAGAACAAAAGCCACATTCAACTTTAGCAAAAGCAATGGTCTCAGGGAAGTGTACAAAGAGAGGGGGAGGGAGGATCCAAAGACAGTACAAAAGAGAAAAGAATCAGAGCTGTCACCCCAAATTGCTGTTACAAAACTCAAGAGTGTGAATTAGCAAACATTTGTCATGGAGATGACAACTTTATGACTGCAGATTCAACTGAAATTTTGAAAAAGTTTCATGATTTCAAGATTATTTTCCCATGCACCAAATGCTACATACCTGCAAATCATTTTCTTTTTCCTTTGATTTAATCCAAGTTTTGCCTTGAGTTTGTGGGTCTATGAGGAGTGGGTATCTGGTCGCCTTTGTCACAATAATGCCATTCTGAATTGAGAGATCATCTCCTGGTAATCCCTGCAGCCCCCACTCACCAATCTGAACAACAGGAAATTAATATCACCATTCAAAGGGGAACAGGAATGCTCTCAATAATTAAAAGTACCGTAAAGTAAAATAATTTAAAATTTGGACTTTTTTCCCTTTGAGACTATGCAACTTGTACTTTGAAAAAAGCAAACTTGTAAATGTGAACCCAATAACATTCACTTTAAAAAAAAATTTATAATGTAATGAATACCTTCTATAATGACCTAAGACAAGGTTTATCCCTTTACATTGTATTTTCATACGTAGGGGAAACATAGTAAATTGATTGCATATTAAACCTGATTTGGAGTTAATGGACATATTAAATATAATGAGATGTCAGAGAAGAAGATAAGTCCCAAGCAATTAGCTCCTGATTGCTTCCCTTTCCTGCCCTTTAGTTCTGCCTACCTGGTGTATGGGTAATTGCATAATTGGAGATAAATTAGATGAGTTATTATATTGGCAAGAGCTCATCAATGACACTTTTGTGAATATTTCCATCTGCAAATTTAGCGTGGATTGCCAGCCTCCTGCCACGTGATCAATAAAATCACCAGGACAGGCGCAATGGTTCATGCCTATAATCCCAGAATTTTGGGAGGCCTGGGGGTTCACCTGAGCCCAGGAATTTAAGGCTGCAGTGAGCTATGATCATACCACTGCACTCCAGTCTGGGCTACAGAGTAAGACTTTGCCTCTAAAATAAAATAAAATAAAAAATAAAATAAAATAAAATAATCAGAGATCCAATGAGCCAACCAGACTCCACCTTTGTTAAATTATCCCAGTACCTCCAAAGGCCATGATTAATAAAGAATATTCTGGCCCACTTTGCTTCACCAGTGCCCAGTGAGGATGAATTCAACGATGTTTGAATTGGAAAAGATTAGTTTTTAACTTTTAAATACAGATAACATGAAATTAATAGCCTGGCATCCCCTAAGGAAACAGCAACTGGAGAGCAGATTTGCAAATCAGAAAAGGAACTCATGAATGCAAATTGCCTGGAAAGCATTTATTACCACAGAAGCTCTGCAAGATATACTGGAAATTGACAGTGGCATCAATTTCCCAGCAAGGAAGGTTAGTATGAAAGGACTTGCTACTACTTAGGGTCACCAGAACATGCTATTGTGTTATTAGACACTAAAAAAGACAGCAAACAAAAATAAGGTTAATACAAGCATAGATCATGCCTACATTTGCCTAAATGTTTGAAAGAGAGTATGACTTCACAAGAGTGGTGTAAATAATGAAGAGTTATAAGAAGAGCCCAGCATTAGCAAGCCTATAACTCTCAAATGATCTTTCGGTTCATAGCTGTTATGAAATGATGAGTGTATGATTGCTGAGAAATGCTGAGTGTTTGATAAAATATATTGTGTGCTAAGAATAGTGACAAGGAAAACCTAGCCACCACCCCCCCCCCCACCAACCCCACAAGTAGAAAATTACTTAGGGCGTTCTAAATTGGCTGGGACAATACATAAATATCATACACTGGTTAAAACAATTCTTTAAGCACAGGACATCTGAGCCTGCCCCCGTGGCTTCCTCATGAAGAATACTTTTTAGTCTGTCTGTGATCAGTGGTAAGCAGGCACCAGCTGCCTACTTGGTATGTTTTTGTGTTATGAGAAAATACCAAACATCTGTTTGTTAATAATCAGAACCTGTTCAGAGAGAATAAATGTGTGAGTCAGGGTCTGCTTGAGGCTTTCAGCCTGGAATGCTGTCAGCATCCCGAGGCTCTCAGCTTGGAAGGCTGTTGGTCCCCTGGTTTGCTGTTCTATCTGGGTGTCTGCTACTTAATTCCTTCAGTGCTGCCTGGGTGGGGATCTCTATGGCCAAGCTGGTTCTCGGTACACAGCAATGCAATTGGTCTTAATTTGGAAGCAAGATTACTTAAAACGCAAAGGAACGTTTCTACCACAAAGAAAATTCTTTTTTAAAAACTCTCAAGCACTTTCAAAACAATCTTTCCAGTTAAATGAAAAAAGAAAAACTTAGGTGAAACTGGGCTTCTTAGTAAGTAGGAAATAAAGTGAGATTGAAATTCAAATATTATGGGGAAGGTAAAACTTACAGTTGGAGGATCCACCAACATTGAAATAAGATTCAGGTTTTCTGTGAAAGGAATTTTCCGTGCTCTCAACTCCATCTCCCACTGATCTTTAAGCAAATAGTTCCTAAATATCTGATTGAAAGGACCAAGGTAGGAAAGGAATCCCGTGCACAGCAGAATATCACCTACAAGTCTGTAAAGAAAAAACACAAAGTGAGTCACCTGACATGTTTTAAGCTCTTCCATTAAGTCGTTTGAGAGGTCACAGTGCAGTGTTGCTTTGTTACTGGGTGAAATCCTTCTTTGCCCCTGCGTAATGCTTGGTTGCCAGGCATGGAAAAGACCCATGCAAAGTGGAGCCCAAAAACCGAAAAGTGGGTGGGAGTGGCCACATGTGGGGTGGTCAGGAAGCAAGAAAAAAGGTGTCCTCCTGAAGCCTACAGGTCTTGAGCCTTGGTACTGTGAGAGAATTATCTTCCCCTCATCCTGTGCCTTGGACTTGTTCAGATTTCAGTCTTGTGTTAAACCACTTTTTCCTCCTCCTCCCTTTTTATTTATTTATTTTGCCATTTTCTTGCTCCTCTCTCGTTCCCCTCTCTGTTAAGTTTTCTAAGGACACCAACAGATACCAGCAGAAGCTAGCATTGCATTTAAGACAAACCACTGATCCACACTTTCAAAATCATTGAGGTGAAGCATAGAGAACCGGAGTGAGCATCTAAATGACTCTGGCAAATCCAAACAATATCAAAAGCACTCTCATACCGAAAACCCACAATGCTGAGCCACAGCTGAGATGTAAAATATTTCACAAAATTTTCTTCACTCTCTAGAGTATTTCACATGAGAGTGCATGTTTTAAGTTGTAAGCACTGTCATAAATGATGGGATTCAGAGATGAACATATGGAAATGAAGGAGAAAGCATTTAACTATGGAAATGGACTTTACGGTCTCTAATGTCACAAAGAAAGAGTGATTATGAAGAAGACCCAAATCCCCACCTATTAATCTGAGCTTTGAATTCTTTACTTTGCTGGGTCCATCGGACTTTTTCTCCACTCAGGCCATCGATAAGAGTGGAAGCTGCCTGCATCTTTTTCCGGCACATATCAGCATCATTAAGCAAATCCTGCAGCCATGATGGGAGAATGTCTCAAAAAACCTTTTTAAGTGCTTAACACAAATATCTATTTTATTCACACATAAAAATACATGGGGGAATTTCTTAATTTGCAAAATAATCTAAAAATACAGTGTGCATAAAACTTCACATATTAAATGTTGATCATTCATAGTATCGTGATTTTACCTCGTGAAATTTCAAGGAAAGCAATTTTGTAAGACAGAATCCAAATCACATAATTTATCTTTTAATCAGATACATTCAAATAGTACTTCTATTGAATGTTTTCAAACAGAATCAAATCAATAAGATTTGCCATTTCAATATCTTGGATTCAATAATAATCCTGAGTTCTTTTGCCGTTTACAAAGTATTTTCTCCTGGAAAAATCCCAGACAACAATAGCAAGCAGCAGCCGGCTTGTACCAACACGTAAGAGCCAATTGTTACATTTTTAGAGTATTTGTGAGCTGGTGTTAAACACAGGCTTTGTTAAAAATTAAACTAAGCTTACAATTAAGTTATATTAAAAGCAAAGGTAATAAGTAACAAAAGATTACTTCCTAATTATTCATATGTTAATATTCTCTATGCTCTTGAGGTTAAATCCGTTGTATCTGCATGGTGGAAATAGTATACAATGGTGTGTCGCCATGCACCTTCTCCCAAATTTGTGCTCAGTGGCGTTACATTGGTAGTTTAAAATTGCCAGTGATGAAAGTATTTACACCACAGAAATCAGACAATATTACAAATCCAGGCTTTCCTCTCCCTGCATAGCACACTAGATTATTGAACATTTACCAGACCACCACTGCTTACAACCTAACTCAAGAGGTCATATTAGGATTCCCATTTTACAGACAGAGCTAGGAAGATTGCGCCAAACCACACAATTAACAAACGTCTGTGCTGGATCTTAAACTCAGTTTTCTAACCCTCAAATCAGTGACAATACAACTTGAGCAGTGAAAACACAATAAAGAATTTTTAGCGCCGAAGATCCAGAACAGGTAAGCATATCGGCCAACGTTTTTTCATTATAACCATTTACCTCATTTCTAAATATAGCACGTACTTGTGTAAAGTTTCAGTACATTGTTTGGGGAATATTGTATATGTAATCTCACCATTTTCTCATTCATTGCTGCATCAAATTTTGCCTGTACTTTATCCAGCTCAGCTTGTTTCTCATCCAGCAGGGCTTGTGCCTTCCCTAACTCAGCATTAGCAACTGCTAACCGGCCTTCCTGCTTGGCCAGGTTTGCCTAAAAAGAAGATGTGGTTACTGTACTAGCTGCACGAAACAGTCATGATTGTGATTGGTAGATAACATGAATTACATAACTTCTGCACTAGATGGGACTTTCAAGCTCATCTGTTTCAGTGTCGAGCTCATCTGTTTCCAGCCTTCAGCTGGGAAAGCAGGGCGTCTTGGAGATTATTTCATTATTTTTAAATGTTTAATTACTGGCCAGGTGCGGTGGCTTACGCCTCTAATCCCAGAACTTTGGGAGGTTAAGGATCACTTCAGCCCAGTTCAAGACTAGCCTGGGAAAAATAATGAGATATTGTTTCTACAAAAAAATGTAAAAATCAGCTGGGTGTGGTGGCATGCACCTGTAGTCCAAGCTGCTCTGGAGGCTGAAGCAGAAGGATCGCTTGAGCTCTAGAGGTCGAGGCCTCAGTGAGCTGTGTTCATAACACTGCACTCCAGCCTGGGTGACAGAGTGAAACTCCGTCTCAGAAAAATTTTTTTAAATTATTAATGCTCAATAAGAAAACACGGAAAATGCAGCAATGTATAGGAGGGAGAACAAAAGTTACCCTGATTTTACTCAGGTATAACCTGTGAATATTGTGTTAGGAAGTTGATAATTGGCATTTTGATATTTTTCATTTCATTTCATTTCAAGAAGTTCCCGTATCCTTCACTATTTTTTCATGAACACTAATTGTGTGACTACCTGATATTCTACATGTTGAATGTATCATAATTAACCTTTTTCCTGCTTGTATACATTTCTCCACCCCCCCATTTTTAAATATTGCAAATAGGGTTATGATAAATACTATTGGATATGTAAACATTTAGGATTGTTACTTTGGTAACAATCCAATTTGAAAGATTCTTCAACGCAAAATTACTGTAACAGTAGTTTCTCATATTTTTCTAAGTTCTACAACATGATAATGATCTGTGTCTTGTAAATTTCAAATAATCAGTAATCTAGACCCAAAGCCCCCCTGGGGTAGAAGTTCTTTGATACCTTTCTTATTTTCTTTCTTAATGTTCATTTGAATTTAGCTCCTTTTCCAAGAAAACTTTTATTCATTTAGATTTTCTAATATATTGACATATAACTATGTAATATTTGCAGCCTGGCACAATGGCTCACAGCTGTAATCCTGGTACTTTGGGAGACCAAAATAGGAGTATTGCTTACACCCAAGAATTCAAGGCTACAGTAAGACATGATTGCATCACTGCACTCCAACCTGGGGGACAAAGTGAAATCCTGTCTCCTAAAAAAAATGCTTTGTAATTATTTAAATCTTCACATCTAGAATTATATGAGTTTATCTTTCTATTTTCATTTGTTTTTATTTTCTTCTTGATTAGATTTTCCAGGAAAATTTCTTAGAGTTTGTTTTTTGTTGTTGTTTTGTTTTGTTTGCAAAGCATAGGTTCTTAGATTTGCTCATTAATTCTGCTGCTTTTCTCTTCCCTAATTTTTAATGTTATTTTTATTAGCTCTATTCTGTTTTCCTTAAATTTTGTGTGTATGTATGCTTATAAGTGAGTATATACTTTAACTCTTAAGTGTACTGTTTAGTTTCTTTGATCCATTTGAGGGCCAAGAATGTACCATTTTGTCCATATCATGAAAGCTTTGGTAACTAGCTTATTTTCATCATTTTCTAATTAGGAACGACGGACTTCTTTTTCATGTAAACTTTCCAATATTATTGCTTATAATCAGAGAATGAGACCGCAGGATTTTTCTTCTTTTTTTTTTTTTTTTGCTGTTGGGAATTTAATCAAGGTATTTTTTTAGCATTGAATTTAATCGATTTTTGTAAATGTTTCTTGTACTCAAGAAATAACTTCATATTCTTTGTTTACACTGAAGAAAGTTCAATGTAGTTATTCAACCTGAAAAATAATATCATGTAAAATTTCTATATAATTATTAATTTATGCCTACTGAGGACTGGCTCTATAATTTACAGGACCCAGTACAAAACAAAAATGTGGGACCCCTTGTTAAAAAAATTATTAAGAATCTGAGGAGGGCAACAGCAGAGCATTAACACAAGACCCTGTGTGCACACCCAAGAAGCTGCCCCATGCCTACCGGGGTAGCCACAATCTCAGATTACAATATTCTTTTTGTTAATTTGACAGTGTGTGCCACAATCTCAAATTACAAATTTTTTTTGTTAATTTCTACTGAAAATACTAATGGATTTGGTTTGTATAATTTGATACTATCTTATTTATTGCATGACACATAATTTTAATTAAGTCTTCACTATGAATCATAATTTTTATCAATAAAGAATAGTCCTACGCTAATGCGGGTGTATGTTTTCTTTTTCTTAAAGTCTACATTTACTGTAAGATTCCTCCCTTAGAATCTTTTTGAGTATGTTTTCTATATTTTTCCTATCATTTCTGTTTGTTAAAACTTTGTATTTTAAATTGATTTTCTGTTTTTCTCAAAGTTTCTCATGCACAGATTTTAAAGAGGCAGCCATTTCTCTAAGTCTTATTATGAAAAACAGTAACCTCCTGCCCACCTGCTCATCATTATCCAATCCACAGAGCAACCACTTATATACTTTTAGCTTTGTGGGGGTGGGGGATTGGGATGGGTCCCTGGAGGCAGTGTATATCTGAGTAATACATTTCACGAATCCTTGCACTCCTAAGAATATCGTTCTGTTCCCTCATACATGAAGATCAGCTTTTCCCATTACTGAATGCTTGGACCTCAGCATTTTCCTCCTCAAAACTCTGCATATGTTTTTTTCATTATCTTCTAGTATTTAGGGTTGTGGGAAATCTGCAACATCTTATTTTGTTCTTTGTAAACAACCTTTTAGGTTTTCTTTGATTGTTTCTTAGATTGCATGTAAGGTTCTCTTTCTGTCTTTGAAATTTAAAACATTTCTAGGTGTCGAACCTAGTTTTTATAAGTTTTGTTTGAAATACAGTAATCAAATTCAACCTCCAAACCTAATCTCCAAACTTCAAAAAGATGGTAAGTTTTTCTTCTTATGACAGTTTGATTATTATTCCCAAGAAATTCATTTCCTGTGTAAGTTAACACATTGGTTTCAGTTGCTTGTCTGCATTGTCAAGAAACATGTAACAGATACAAAAAAGAAGGAGAAACTTTGAAAGGACATAGAGAAAAAAGAAAAATTTGGTAACAGGGACATCTACCTTTATTGGTCTAAACTATGCATTGTCTTTTAATAGCAGTAATACTGATGATTGATTTTATGAAACATTGATTTACTGGGAGAAGGAGGGAAACTTTTACCTTCAGAGGCAACACTTCTCTATTGATGCCATAAAATATTGCCATTGCAAGTGTCCAAGACAGGAGACCAGCCACATTCCCACAGACTTTTTTGGCACTTTCAAAAGTATAATCATCCATATTAAAATATGGCTGTAGTAACTCGACAGTCTCTTCATTTATAGTGTCTTTAGGGAACTGCTGAAGGCTCCACAGGAATCCTGTTGCACTCATCAACTGAAAAATAGTATTATAACCTGTAAGTTCTGGCAGAAAATAAACACTTTCTTCTAAATATGTACTTCTAAATTGAATTTTCTCAAAGAAGTACATTCGATTTGCTCTAAATATACAAATTGAGACTATTGACAGTAGCCAGCCTAAATCTGTAAATCACAAATTGCCTTCTGGATTCCATGTGGAAAGAGTAAAGAAGAAAAGCTATGCAAGTTTTCTTTCTGGTAAGTGCATCTGAATGCCACCAACCACACAGGCCTCTTTTTGAAGACTGGGCTGGGTTGACACCAAGGCTGTACCCATACAAGCCACTGATTCTGGAAAGATTTCATGAAAAGAAGGCATTCGGCTTTAACATCTATCCCTCTTTACATTTCAGGTGATACAGTGTAAGACAAACTTTTCAATACACAACGATCAATTATTGTCTGCCAGTTTGGTCTATATGAAGCAGATTGATATGAACTGGTCTATATGAGCTGGTCTACATGCAGCTCATAGGATTTACAAAGATGGATTTTACTTACCTTTAATGACTCTCCCCATGATGGCTTGCAGCAAGGTTTTTCTGGATCCATAGTAACAGGGTCAATTTTCTTTTGAAATAGTAACAGAACACAGTCCATGATTCTCATAATAAGATGTGGTGGTTTTGCAAGTTTCCTGACTGTGGCAATATCATTTGGCTTGATAGTCTATATTTGGGATCAGGAATTAATATTTTTTTTGTTGAATGGTATTAATAGGTATATGGAAATCTAGTACTTTTAAATAATTAAGGTAGAAAACTTTAAAACATATTTTCTCCCAGTTCCAAGATTTTTGCTTAGTGGCTCTTTCATAGTTATTTTGGTATTTTTGTTTGTCTGTTTGTTTGTATGTATTCTTTTTTTCCCCATTGCTCCCAACAAATTGGTTTAAATTATCACTGCTAGGTACTGCCATCGCAGACCTCTGTTAATAAGTCCCATTGATATGTAACATTTAGATAACTTGCATCTTCAAAGCTAAGTGTCTATATTATGTGCAGATATGGAGAGAGGATACAAAGCCCTGAATATCAGAAACCTCACATTCAGCCTTCATTTCAAGGGCTTCCCTGTCTCTGGCAGGGGAGGAATTAGAAGGAGACATGAGAAGTTACTATAATATATGGCTCATAAAAATATTTTTGAAAGTTTCTATCCACCAGCTGGGTTTGGATTAAGACACTGCCTGACCATCAAGGCAAAGTCTGGGAGACCATATGATCAATAACATGTTCTAAGTCTCCTTTGATTCGATGATCTCTCCCTTTTGTACATTATAGTAAGACCCATAAAGGAAGTAGGGGTGCAGAATATGTCCTGGTCATTGTGAAAATTTTATTAAATGATTATCATAGATTTATTCATTCATTTAACAGTTGCAGGCATTCTCCCATATAAAACAAAACAAACAAATACAGTCTTGTCCTCATAACTCCTAAAAATGGCAAAGAAAATACAATTACTCTACCTAAAGATTTCTGCCATGACAGAGGCATGTGAGTGACGGGAAAACAAAGGAAGGCCTAGAAGAACTGAAAACTTTCTGGGAGGAGTGAGGTCTGGGCCCAGATTTAAAGAATGACTCTAGGCAAAGAAAGTTAGGAAAAGCATTCTCGGCAGAGGAGGAGGCATGTTTAAAGGTAACAGACCCTGACCATTCTTCCAGAATCTTATACATGTTTCTGTATGACTGGATCACATTGTGTGTAGGGACAAAATGATAAGTGACCAAGTTCAAGAGATAGTCAGAAGCCAGGTCATCAACAGGAACAGAAGCATTAATATTTGTTGAGCACTCTCTATGTACCTAGCATTTTATATTAATTACTTTTAATGCTCACATTGGTTCTTTAAGGATCAATGAGAAATTATAAACCTCATAGAAACTCAAGAAAGTTAATATACTCCAGATCATATACATGTGTACCTACATACATATATGTGTGTGTATTAGCAGTATGTATATATACATGCGTATATATGTGTGTATATATCCATACATATGTATACATATCCATACATATGTATACATGCACATATGTGTGTGTATGTGTGTGTGTTATACATAGAGGTGAATGGCGGGTCTGCCTGCCTCCAAAGCTGTGCTCCTTTTGCCTCACAGCTGTGGATGTATAACTCAGGACTTTATCCTAAGAGCAGTGGGAGCCACAGGAAGATTTTTAAAGGGGTCATGACATAATCTAGAAGGGATGCTGGAGAAACTGAGCAGGCTCTCTATGTAATCTGAATTTCTCATATTTTAGGCCATTAACCACTAGCATTATTTCTCAGTTTTCAGGAAGGCTAATTTGTGGGATGAAAATAATGTAAGAGGTGAGGACTTTAAAAAATTTTAGAATTTAGAAAACTGAATGAATTGACACATTTGTTTCCAGACTTAGATTATCAATCGCATTAAGAATTCAATTCAGTTTTCTGGTTATTTAATTTCACATAATGAAACACGATGCCTTCTAGACTCGTGTTGGAAAGGATAACAATGCACTGCTCACATTCAGGGCTGCTTCTGCTTCTTCCAATGCAGGTTTAGCTGCCTCGAGTTTGCTCTCAGCTTTTACTTTTTCACTATCAATTTCATCCACAATTTTTTGGGCTTTGTCTTTTACCTCCTGTACTTCATTTTTAATTTTGGCTGAAGCCTGAGCGCTTACTGTGACTTCTGCTAATACCTGTTAAGTTGAAGAAACATATGAAAGCAAATAGAAACCTTTCAAGCATGTATATGTGAATAGTGAGAGAATATTTATTCAATATAATAGAAAACACAAATAAGAACAAATTTATTTCCCATCTAAGTTGTCTCTATTTTAAGGTGTATGAAAGTAAATTCCTTTGAGCAGTTCCTTGCAGTCTTCCATTTTCTAAGCTTTCCTTAGGCTTAGAATATATAAATAAATATTTAAAACTTTCAGAAGAAATAGTATTTCCACTCTACAAATTTCTAGAAAATTAAAACAGTTCAAGTAAGTATAATAGAATAAAGGCCAAAAAAAAACATATTAAGCCTTGTGTAATAACAATAAAAGTAGCTAATGTTTATTGAGTGCTTACCATATGCATTAGGACTATGCTTAAGTGCCTCCCCTATGTTAGCTTACTCATTTCAGTAACTGGCTAAGGATCAAGACTTAAGTATCTATTCTTAAGTGACTCGGTGACTGGAAGCTGAAAGTCTGAGATTGGAAGGTTGTATAATAGATTAAAAAAAAAAATCACATATATCCCTGTTTCCTTGAGAGGACTATGATCTCTGTCCCTCCCTTCCTTCCTTCCTTCCTTCCTTCCTTCCTTCCTTCCTTCCTTCCTTCCTTCCTTCCCTCCTTCCTTTCTTTCTCTTTCCTTTTTTTCCTAAAAAAAGGCCAGGCACGGTGGCTCACACCTGTAATCCCAGCACCTTGGAAGGCCGAGGCAGGCAAATCACAGGGTCAGGAGATCAAGACCATACTGGCCAACATGGTGAAACCTGTCTCTACTAAAATACAAAAAATTAGCTGGGCATGGTGGTGCACACCTGTAATCCCAGCTACTCAGGAGGCTGAGGCAGGAGAATCGTTTGAACCCAAGAGGCGGTTGCAGTAAGCCGAGATCCTGCCATTGCACTCCAGCCCAGGAGACAGTACGAGACTCCATTAAAAAAAAAAAAAAAAAAAAAAAACTCCATCAACTCTTCTTCTTATGTTTTTCCCTCTTTGACACAAACTGTAAGTGAGATTTGGGCCATCTCAGAAACCTGGAACATACAGGGACCTTAAAGAGAAGACCAAATATAACTCATAGTCAAGCAGAAATTTCATAAACAAATGAAAAAGAACAAGAGAGACAGGCGGAGTGAGAGAAGAAATAATCGTCTTAGGCCAAGTAGTGAAACTAATAGTTTAGATACATATGCTGGTATAAGATAAACAAAAATGTCTAATGGCCTTTGTGAACATTATCTTACCAGGAATTGTCCATAGGTTTATACCTTACTTGTTTTTTATACCATTTTAAAATAATGCTTTTTAATATGAAAAAATATTCCTTATCAGTGATAAAATAAATGCAAACTCACTTCATCTGCTTTTACGGAAGCCACTGCCAATTCCTTCTCCTTTACTGCAAGATCCTGAGAGAGTTTAGCAACAGATTCACTTGCCTCCATTAGCTTATCAAGACCTTTACAAATACACATATATATACTTTTGCTGAGTATATCACTTCATCAAATATTTATTCAACATTTACTATTTATAAGGCACTGTACATGTAATATAGCAAACACAAGACAGTATTTGTAGACAAAACTTTAAAAATATACATATCTTTTTTTCCCAAAATATACATATCTTAAGAGCGACAATACTGACCATATTTCTGAGTTTCAACAGGAGGGCAGAGAAAATAGCTCTGACTGAAGAATATCACGTAGCTACATTTAAGGGAAAGTCACAGTATCATATTGAATAAGATTAGTTTAACTAAGAAACTTATTTGACAAATTTATGCTCTCTTTGGCTTTGTTAACTGTTTACAGCTATCATTTTTTGCCTTTAAATCACATTGCAGCTGAGGTGGCAAATGAGATAGAAACTATATTAACTTTGCAGAGGTTCTCTTTGCTATAAAAATGAAAGTAACTGTGAAAACTTATGTAACAGGGTGCAACTTTTAGTACTATACAGAAAAAGAACTGGTTAACCGAATTGCTCACATTCCATTGGGCTCTAGGTAGTGGTATGTTGGTAAATATTTAACATCTGGGTCACTGGGGGAAGGGGAAGCCCTCATTTGTATATTGTCCAATTTCTGTAGTGTAAACACTCCAACCATGGCTTATTTCAAGCTACCACAAGATTCCCAGTAGCACACTAATACATAATATTCCTACCATACAGACAGAAGTAAATAACCTCGACAACATTGATATGAGAAAACAGAGTAGGCTGGACGTGGTGGCTCACCCCTGCAATTTCAGCACTCCTGATGTCCAGAATTTGAAACCAGCCTGACCAACATGGCAAAACCCCATCTCTACTAAAAATACAAAATAAGCTGGGCGTGGTGGTGCATGCCTGTAATCCCAGCTACTTGGGAGGCTGAGGCAGGAGAACTGCTTGAACCTGGGAGGTGGAAGTTGCAGTGAGCCAAGATCACACCATTGCACTCCAGCCTGGGTGACAGAACAAAACTTTGTCTCAAAAAAAATAAATAAATAAAACTAAGAAGGGATGAGTTTGAGGATTTATTGCCTATATTTTAAAAACAAATTATTTAATTGTAAGTATACATGAGTTAATTTTTAATAAAGGTTATGTTTAATAAGCAGATCACAAAATTACTAAAAATTTAACATTATGTTCTCAAAAGCCAGTATGAATCTATTTCAGCACACTTCTGATCTAAAGCATCACATAGGAAAGCTACAAGAGGCTGAATCATGAGCAAATCACAGAAAATTTCTTTCACAGTCTTCTATCATCAGTATGACTTCACAGATCTTGGTGCTCAGTTATGCTATGTGACTGAGTGTTTTTTGTTTTGCTTTTTTTTTTTTTTGCTGGAGACAGGGTCCCACTCTGTCACCTAGGCTGGAGTGTAGTGGTATAATCTCTGCTCACTGCAGCCTTGATCTCCTTGGCTCAAGTGATCCTCCCACCTCAGCCTCTCAAGTAGCTGGGACTACAAGCATGTGCCATCACCATGCCTGACTAATTTTTATACTTTTGTAGAGATAGGGTTTCACCATGTTGCCCAGGCTGGTCTTGAACTCCTGGGCTCAAGTGATCTGCTTGCCTTGGCCTGCCAAAGTGCTAAAATTAAAGGCATGAGCCAGCACACCCAGCCCCGCAAGTTTTATTTAGAACTTGGAAAATAAGAGCTAAGGTGTTTTAGATTGTTTGGGCCACATGGTTTCTGGACATAAAATCTGTTCCAATGTTTACTTTTGCTAGTTATACTGCATATACCAAACATTTGGAAAACTCTTGCTTAGGTACACACACTCTTTTTATTTGTTTTTCTTTCTATTTTGCCTTTTCCTTTATTAGAAATGTAGGGAATATTAACATGGCAAAGTTTACACAAATCAAGGCAAATCAAAATAAAACCAAAAACTGAAATTGTCGTCCATTCCCAAAAGCTGGCTTTTCCCCATCTGCCAGCCATGCCTCAGTGACTTAGCACAGAGCACTCAGAGTTGAAAGAGCCAAAAGAAATGGTTCTACAGAGAAAATGGGCCACCTCTGTCTAGATTTTCTTCTGTTCAGGGTTTCTTGACAGGTCAAAATACCCACAAGGGCATCCTTTAAAATTACTACTAACAAAGTGAGCATTTTATTTTCATACAAAATGTCCACCAAACAAAATATTGAGATCCCTATCAAACAAATCCTAAAAAGATAAGATTCCATTTCTCTTACCAATATTCATACGTTCAGCTTGTTCATTAATGAATTTCACCTTTTCAGCATAAATGTTTTTATAGCCATTTACAAATGAAAGGTAAGATTTGGGAGTCACATGTGCTCTTCGGCGGTATCTGAAAGTAGAACATTAAAAGGACCATTTGGATCATCGTGGGTACTCCCATAAAATGACACCCTTCCTAAGGTGAAACCAGTGTGATCATGTAGAGTGATTCACTAGCAGGAAGACAGGACTTGAACATGGTTTCCCAGAGATCTAAATTTGTCTGATGTTTCGACCCTGAGGGGTCTTCAACTTCACCCTTAACTCCAATTCTGTTTTCTCATCTGGAAAACTGAGGAAAAAATGTCTGCTTTACCCCTCCCAGAATTTTGTGAAGATCAAATAAAATCGTATATATGAACATATTATGTGAAAGCTGGTGTCAACAGTGCAAAACTTTAGGGTTCTGGACAAATATTAGGGATAAGTGGTTGAAATGAATTTGTGTTGTGATCCATTTTCATTCCTCTAATATTTGTTACACACCTCGTCACTGCTGGGTATCAGCTGGATGTTTACCAAAGCAAAAACCAATGTCTCCCCATTTCACTGAATTGGCCTTGAAATCAAGGCAACTACACTTGATTCAAATTTCCACTTTATTGTGGGCTTTATTACAAAAGGTATAGTTTTATACAGAAGAATCTCAAGTCAAAAAAAGAGCTGTTCGTGTACTATAAAATTATTTAATCTTTTATATTAATTTGAACTTAAGGAGTTTTGAAAATTTTTAACATTTTTAAGGTTTTTTTTTTTAAAGATCTTGGGCATATATGTGATTTTCATTGAAGTGTTATAAAATATTACATTCAGAATAAATTTCAACAACCTAAGAAGATGTAAAAAATTTGAAAAATATACCAAAATTTTCAAAGTAAAGAAATAGGTTTTTGTAGCTGTACAAAGGTAAAAGTTTATTTCCACAGATGACATTAGCAGGAGGAGTTCAAATAGAAAGAAAATCTCAACAGTAAGAATTAATACACACTGATTCACCAAGAGAATTTGGGAGATCTTATCCAGAATTATTTAAAAGGGTAGTCTGGGGATGTTTGTGGTTTTTTTTTTTTTTTTTTTTTTTTGGTTTGGTTTTTTGAGATGGAGTTTTTCTCTGTTACCAGCCTGGAGTGCAGTGGCATGATTTCGGCTCACTGCAACCTCCCCCTCCTGGGTTCAAGTGATTCTCCTGCCTCAGCCTCCTGAGTAGCTGAGATTACAGGTGCCTGCCACCACGCCCAGCTAATTTTTCTATATTTAATAGAGAAGGGGTCACACCATGTTGACCAGGTTGGTCTTGAACTCCTGACCTCAGGTGATCCACCCGCATCAGCCTCCCAAAGTGCTGGGATTATAGGCGTGAGCCACTGCGCCCGGCCCCAGGGAATGGTTTTAAGTAAAGGAAACAGTCTGGAATAAATATAGTTTTGTGAAGCAGGAATCTCATTGAAAATCAGTGAAAGTGTTACCCAAACTCTCTATGCAGAAAAACAGGAATAGCTTTTCTGGGGATCTACGTTGACCCATTTGTCAGTCTTATACAGTGACTGTCATGCTTTGGGGGAAAAAGCTGTGTTTTTGCACTGTTGACACCAGCTTTCACACAATGAACATACCATTGATGCTTTTAATGAGTGGTTTTCCTACAGTCAGTTAATATTTTGTTTCATAGTTATCCAGCATAGAAACATTGGTAAGACTAACACAAATATAAATTCTAAATACTCCCTTAATATAAGGCAATAAAGAAAAATTAGAAACTGCACTTCTTTAATCAAAACAAATAATGCATTTGAATAAGAAACTAATTTTAAACAGTTGATGAATTAAAGTCATTTTCAAAACAAAATTAAGCAGATGAATTAAAACAATTCATTAAGTTATCTGTTATGATGAGGCTTGGAGGATAAAAAGGTATTATGTGCGGACACTGGTTCATTTTTAAATCTTGTTTACTTGCCATATCTTCATACATAATCACTAGAAAATCAAAGCAAGAAAGATCTAAAAACGCAGCTAGGACCTTGTGCTCAATCAATAGGAAGAGTCTTCTGTTGGATGTTACAATGCATTCCTCTTGGGAGTACATGCTGTGGTTCCATAGCTATAGTGCTTATGTAATACCACTTACCTTTGGAAATAACTTTCACAGCTCTCTGAAACCATGTCATGAAACAGGCCCATTGTTTCTACAACTTGTCTTTTAATTTCACTAGAGCAGACAATATTATAGTCAGAAAGGAAATAGGAGGCCACCGCAATCAGAGCCTCTCTCGGCCAGCGGCTGAACCAGTCCATAGTGCAACCTGATATCAAGCCAGGAAATTTCAAAGAACGGGCACGGAACTTCTCACCAACCTATTGACGGCAAAGTCAACAAACATTAGAAACACAGAGGGGTCAGCCAGAGAGAGATTTATGCACTCCGACCCAACAATGTGACTTCACAAATTTGAAAATGAATCTTCTTGGGCTGCAATCATATATAAATGTAATGTTCCAATGAAGGGAAGAAATACACTCCACACTTTTCCCTGTCCTGGGACTACATCTACATTATTGCATTCAATTCTAGGAACTATCTTTTAAGAGAAAACTGACAAACTAGAACTCTTTTACAGAGAGGGCCAGGACAGTGAAAGCCCTGGACGCTGGGACAAGTAAGAACAGATGTTTGGCCTAAAAAGAAAACAACTTAGACAGATTTGCAAAAACTTTCTCCGAACAGCTAAAAAACTTTCAGTGGAAGAGGGATTGAGTTTGTTTTACAGGGCAGAATTTGAAAAGCACAGAGACAAAATTCAATTGACTATAAATAAGAGCTTTTTGGCAATTAGACTATCCAAGAATGAAGCAGGCTGCCTTATAAATTAGTGAGACTCCCCAGAGCAGAGCTGTCAGTAGAACTTTAAGTGATAATAAAAATGCTTTATATGTATGCATTCCAGTGTAGTAGCTATTAACCACACGTGACTACTAAGCACTAAGAATGGAGCCAAGCCAGGCGCAGGGGCTCACGCCTGTAATCCCAGCACTTTGGGAGGCCTAGTAGGGTGAATTGCTTGAGTTCAGGAGTTCCAGACCAGCCTGGGCAACATGGCAAAACCCAATCTCTACAAAAAATACAAAAATTAACTGGGCATGGTGGCACGTGCTTGTAGTCCCAGCCACTCGGGAGTCTAAGCTGAGAGCATGGCTTGAGCCTGGGAGGTTGACACTGCAGTGAACCATAATCATGCCACTGCACTCCAGCCTGGGCAACAGAGCAAGACCCTGTATCAAAAATAAACAAATAATAAGTAGAAATGGGGCTAGTGGGACTGGGGAATTAAATTTTTGTTTTTACTTAATTTTAATTAAAATTTAAGTGGCCGTATAGGCCTAATGGCTATTATATTGGGCAGCACAATGAGATAGAGATTTTCAAACCCACATCAGGGACATTATGGTAAAGATGATATGTCTACACTGGAGGTGGAGCTGGAAGAGATTACATCACCAAGTCCCTTACAATTCAAACAACCCATGTCTCTAAGTAATTAATGAAAATTGCAGGTTATGCAATATTTTTAATAATATGAATATTTTAAATTATACTGGAAATGAGAATTTGGAGATTGGTGATACAAAAGCATTAGGTTAATTCAATGTAAAAATATTAATTTTTAAGATCATCATCTAATCAGAGAAGGTAAACTAAGTATTTTTAAATAAGGAACTCTTTCTACAGAGATATAAATAACTCACTGGAGAAAAGCAGAGAACAACATGTAAGTTCTTCTTTGATCTTGAAATGAAGTATTCATACAGATTATCAAAAGTAGGAGGATGGCGAGGCAGCTCCCTCTTCATCACTGAAATCAGACCTTGGGTGATTTCATCCATCTCATCTCGTGCAAACAAATTGGAGATCTTTAAGGAAGGGACAAGGAAGAGTTCTATATTTTAAGAGTTCTCCACAATGAATTCACTGCTAAAGTCCAGTCCCTTTTTTCTTTGCATGTCATCTTGTTTTACATTTTCTTTCTGCATCTCTACAGTCAAATCTGTGATTTGCCAGAGATGATCATGGCTGCAACTTTTTATTGAACAGCTCAGTCAAGAACAAATTGTGTTTTCCTGTGTTCAAGTAGCTATCGCCAAAAGCTATCTCCTCCACCACTTCAATCACCTCTTTAAAATGTCCAGGAGTGCCCTCTGTTTTTTGTTTTTTTGACCCAGAGTCAGTCTAATCAATTCTGGCTCCAAAATACTTAACTAATTTTTGCACCTTTGAGCATCTGGATACCATGATGTAGGGAAGAGTTAGCACAGCAGGCCTAATCTTGAGAAGGGTAAACTTGCAGAGCTGACCCTTGGCTGTTATCAGGGAACTTGGCTTCTGGAATGTCTCCTCCATTAGTAGCTGATAAGGTTGTTTTGCAGTGCCAACTAGACTGTTTACACAAACCTTGTAATATATGGTGAACATCTACGTGCTTTTCTTCTAGGAATCTGGAACTTTGGTAGTGTAGCTAGGCGGGAAGTGACTACCATGACCAGCCCTAAAAAAAACCACTGGACTCTGGGTCTCAAAAGGGCTTCCCTGAATGGAAACACAGTGCATGTGTTCCTGCCCTTCATACTGAATGGAGAGGACATTCTGCATGGCTTCTTGGCAAAAGCATAGGAAGCTGGAACATCAATCCCATGTTCCTGAAACATCAATTACCCCACAAGATGGGTCTTTTTCTCTACTGATCTGACTCGGTATCCTTACTGTGTTGCCGCAATAAATCTCAGCCATGAGAATAACCATAGGTTGAGCATCCCTTATTCAAAATGCTTGGTTCCACAGTGTTTCAGGTTTCAGATTTTTTTCAGATTTTGGAATGTTTGCATTTTACTTACTGGTTGAGCACCCCAAATTCAAAAATCTGAAATCTGAAATGCTCCAATAATGAGCGTGGCCTTTGAGCATCATGTCACTGCTCAAAAAGTTTCAGATTTTAGAGCATTTTGGATTCCAGATTTTTTTATTTGAGATGCTCAGCCTGTATATGCTGAGTCTGGTGAATCCTTCTACTGGAGTGCTAAAGATGTGAGTGCTCATGGAAGTGCTGATACAAGCGGTATCAGAAGTGGTTGTGCAGACATTCATTTGCAACTAACAGAATTCTTTCAACCATTCTATGCTCCTGACTAGTATGTAGATGGATGGACAGATACTTCACTTCTCCTAAAATAAATTATAAGACCAAAGTGAAGATTGAAGAGGCAAGTAAGGAACCATGTTCAAAAATTTAAAAAAGCATATAAAGCATCTGGAGACGGGCAGCATTAATTTCACAAGAATGTCAGGAAATCTATTAAATCTCATACATTATGTCTAAAATCCAAAATGTACTAAATAGCCTCACTTTTAAAAAATTCATATATTGTAAAAATATGAATTATATTGGAATAGAAAAAGCAGCAACCTTTTGGACTTTTTATATACTTTTGAGACCTACCTCTCCTGAAGATAGCAAGTTGTTAAGGTATTCTAGAAATGCCTCATCTTTTATTTCATTGTCGGTAAAGATGAAGGTGATGCCTTTTCCATCAGCACCAGCAACTTTGTACAAACCTTTTAAATCATCTGTTAGATTATTCACATTGTAAGACCTAAGAAGAAAAGTGATAGAAAATTTTAGATTAAAAAATACATAGTCATAATTTACCTCAGAACATAATAGCCCATGATAATTAGAGCATAATCTGTACCTGCTCCAATAGATACTAAGTAATGGTGCCTGCTAGAAAATACAGAGATTAGAGCTAAAGAGTGATTTGCTACCATTCAAAACAAATGCGTTTTGTTTAAGTTGAGAACTGAGAAACAGAGAACTTACCAAAAGTGATCCATGAAGCATAATTGGGAATAGAGAAACGAACTTTTATTCCCTACAATCTGACAGCTTTCAGCAGCAGATTTTATCTGAGTAAATATATGCACAATATTACAATATCTAAAACTCATCTGAAATTTGGATGAGTTTGGTTTGGTGAAAAAGTCACAATAAGTTGTGAATAAAATTACAGATAAATTGTATATAGTGGCAATTTGCACAGCTCATTAAGTGGCTAGATACAAAGAAAACCCACAGAAAAGGATGCATTATGCAATACGATATAAATAATAAAAATGTTAGATGGTTACAGATTATGGAATGAAAAGATCTTGGTCTTTGTTTTACTGTTTACTCTGTTTCTGGTCAAATGTATGTGCTACCAGAGGTGATGAGACGTGCAAAAATAAAGCAGACACTATCTGAAATGTTAATCTTCATGGGTAAATTAATGACAAGGATGAAAAGCTAATCCTCCTGGAAGGAGGTGTTACCATGCAAGTAATAGAGAGTAGGCCATGGGATCTCGCAGAAAGACTACGGGCACTGGAACCAGAAAGATCTACTGGCCTGACGCTGTCAGGGTAATCCTCTCACTGACTGGCCAGTCTCCGAATTGATCAGCCAAAGATGTCAATTTGGCTGATTTTTTAAATAATTAGAAGGACTGTTATGTATTGCTTTTGCAATACATAGAGACAGTTGCAACACACCCCTTGTCCAGGTCCTGATCTCTCTTGTTTCTTTCTTTCAAGTTTTCTGAAAGTATTCTCTGTGCTTCTTCTCTTCCTAATGCAATGTGGCTTCTGCAGTCATCCACTCCACTGAAAGTTTTATCATGTTGACTATCAGTTACCACTTTTCATGTCTTAGCATTTTCAGATTAATTCCCTACCTGCTTAGTTTCTGGAAACGACTCTGGATTTCCTCCTCTCTGTATTGCCTCTCCTTCTCACTGTCCATCGCAAAACCTCTTTCTCTGTGTTGGGAGACCCCAGAGTTCTTTCCACAGCCATCTTTTTTCCCATGAGACATCCTATTCATACACCACATGACCATAAACGGGTTCTCTCTACTGAGATTTCTATATTGTTGTCTCTATAACCAGAACCCTCTCCTGAACTCCACATCCATGAGTCTTATTGTCTATGGAAACTGTGTTCTGCAGACACTACAGACTCAAATATACTAAACTAAATTCTGACTTTACCCTTCAAAGATGGCCATTTATTTATTTATTCAACACATCCTTTTATAGAATTGCTTAAAAGAAACATTTAATAATAAAAATAAAGCCCATTCTCAGGGAGCTTACAGCTTAGTGAAAGAGATAGAAATATACGTGAACAAGCACTTTTTTAAATGCAGTGAGATAAGTACAGTCATGCATTGCTTAACAATGGGGATACATTCTGATAAATGCATCCTTAGAAAATATCATCACGTGGGAACATGATACAGTTTGGATGCTTGTCCCCTCCAACTCTCAAGCTGAAATATAATCCCCAATGTTGGAGGTGGGGTTTGGTGGGAGGTCACGGAGGCATATCCGTCATGAATGGCTTAGCACCATCCCCTTAGTACTGAGTGAATTCTCACTCTGAGTTCATGTGAGTTCTAGTTGTTTAAAGGAGTCTGAGACCTGCCCCCTCACTCTTTCGATCCAGCTCTCACAATATGACCACCTGCTTTCCCTTTGCCTCCCACCATGATTGGAATCTTCCTGAGACCCTCACCAGAAGCAGGTACAAGCACCACGCTTCCTGTACAGTCTGCAGAACGTTGAGCCAAAACAAACCTGTTTTTAAATAAATTACACAGCCTCGGGTATTCATTGCAATGCAAAAACTGACTGACACAGAACAGCATAGAGTACAACTACACACACCTAGGCTGTATGGAATGGCCTATTGCTCCTAAGCTACAAACCTGAACAGCATGTTATTGCACTGAATACTATAGGCAATTCTAATGCAATGGTCCATATTTATGTATCTATCTAAACATAGAAAAGGTACAGTTAAAATACACTTCAAAGGGTTTTTAAAATGCTACTCCTGTATAGAGCAGTTCGATTACAATTTCATGGGCCCACCATCATATATGCTGTCTGTTGTTGACCGAAATGTCAAAATGTCCTTATGGGGCACACAACTATACCACTAAAGAAATTAGAGTGTCTTCCTGTTCTTGCCTCCTCCTCCTCCATATTGGGTCAGTTACTAAGTCCTATCAATTCTGCATACTTTAAACTGTCCCCACTGAGTCTTCCTCTCTATTCCCAGTTTGTCTGCTGTTATAAAATGTATCCAGAATTTTTTGTAATCAAGTGCAGTAAGACACGAAGACACAGGAATGACTGTCATGAAGGAAGATGTTTATACTCAAGGATCCCTAGAAACAGGAGGGGGCCTGTCATGCTAGGTAGGGTGACATGGGGAAACACCAGGGTCAATCAGGAGGCAAAAGGAGTGATGGGAAAACCCTGGTGAGAGTCTTTATTGTGGTTTCCATGAGAAAGGCAAAGCAGGGAAGCAGATTTAGGATTCGCTAGTTTGAATAATTTCAGCAGGCTCTGGGGCATAAGAACAGTCCCTAGTTGACTGGTATGTGGCCCTGGGGTCATTAGGGCAGAGGAATATCCTAATCCACCATGAGATCTCACTAGACATCCACCAGATAGAGGAGAAGTTTGGGAGTAAGGACTCTGGATTGCTTGGTTTGCATATGAAAGGTACTGTCCTGGAGGAGTTGTTTTAATCTCTAAGAATTGGCTACCCTGGAAGGGTCAGTCTCTCCCCAGTCAGCAGGGTCTCAGATGCCAGAGTATCAAGAATACAGAAATTAAGAAAATATAGTGAATAAATTTGCCTTGATTTAAGCCTCTGTCGTTCCTGACTATAATGAGTGTAACACCACTTATCTCAGGATCACAAATGTAGATGCCTACAGGAATCAGACAGATAATGCCAGTGAGTGAAGCAGAACTGGTAGGGTCTGTGAACTGGAGGATTGCATGCCCCATCCAAGGAGGCAGCTGCTACTGAGCTCTGCCACCTGGGAGTGTAGGCCCTAGGTTGCCAGATCTTCCAATTATTTCAAAAAAAGTCAGAAACACGCTTTTTCAAAATATGAAACCTCTCGATTTTTAAATGTTGACAACTAATTTACTTTTCTGAAGTAAAATTAAATTAATATCTACTTATTTGATGTTTTATGTTTTTAAAATACAATAAATTATATCTTGTTAAATATTTATTTTTCATTTGTTTGGCAGATGAAAATTTAGATCACTTTGCTAATTCATAAACAAACACACAGAATGATTGTGCGTTTGTTTATAAATTAGCAAAGAGATCTGAATTTTATATGGGAATAAAAGGCCAAATGGACAAGATATTTTGAAGAACAACAGTAAAGTTAGAGATCTACACTACGAAATATGCATATGTAAAATTTAAATATATATTAAAGAAGCTACAGCAATTAATACAGTGGGTAATGATACAAAGATAGATGAGAAAGCCAGTAGAGGGGACTATTTAGTCACATATATGATCAGATGACTTAAGACAAAAAATGACACTGTGATGTGACAGGAAAAAGATGACCTTTTTAATAAATGGAGCTGGATTAACTGGATATCGGTATTGAAAATAATCATCATGGCTCCTATATCAGACATTATAAGATAATTAATTTTAGGTCTGTTATAGTACTAAATGTGAAAGTAGTAAATTTTATGTGTAAATGTGAAGAAAATCATAGGAAAATATCTATGTGCCCTTAGGCCAAGCAAAGATTTTTTAATAGAATACAAAGAGCACTGAATAGAAAGGAAAAAAAAAATGGATGTTTCATTAAAATTAAGATCCGCTAAGAGAATGAAATGGCAAGTCAATAACTGAGAAAAGACATTTGCAATATGCACCCTTTATATCCAAAACATATAGAATTCCTTACAATCAATAAGAAAGAATCACAATCAAATTGAACAAAAATGGAGAAAGGGCTTAAATAATTCACAAAAGAGCCTATCCAAATGGCCACTGAGAGATGAAAAGGTGCTCAACATCATTAGCCATCCAAGAAATGCAAACTGAAACCACAGTGAGCTATCATTCCACACCTCTTAAAATTGCTAAAATCAGCTGGCAAGGTGACTCATGCCAGTAATTTTGGGAGGCCAAGGCGGGTCGATCACGTGAGGTAAGGAGTTCAAGATCAACCTGGCCAACATGGTGAAACCCTGTCTCTACTAAAAATACAAAAATTGACTGGGCATGGCAGCACACTCCTGTGATCCCAGCTACTCAGAAGGCTAAGGCAAGAGAATCGCTTGAACCTGGGAGGCGGAGGTTGCAGTGAGCCGAGATCGCACCACTGCACCCCAGCCTAGGTGGCGGAGCAAAATTCCATCTCAAAAAAAAAAAAATAGCTAAAATGAAAAAGACACACAATGCCAAAAGGGGGCAAGAATGAAGAGTAAACAAAACTCTCATGACATGTTGGTGGAAGTGTAAACTGGTACAACTACATGAGAAAACTGCTACACAGATCAACTAAAGCTAAATATATGGATACCCTACATCCAGGAATTTTAACTCTAGGTGTATACTCAGACATATACAAGAATATTTACAGTAGCTCTACTTGCCCCAAACCAAATGTTTATCAAGAGTACAATGGATAAATTGTGCTAGTATCTGATAAAGTAGAAGATCATGCAGCAAAAAGAATGAACAACTCTTGCTACATGTAGCATCATGGATGAATCTCACAAACAATGCAATAATAGAAATGAGATGCAAGGAGCAAATCCTGTATGATTCAACTGATACAAAATTCAAAACTAGGCAAAACGAATCAATGGGCTTACACTTTGAATATGGTTACCTTAAGGAAGTTAATGACTGCAATGTAACATGAGGATGCTTCTGGAGTACAAGTTGTGTTTTATTTCTTCATCTCTAGACTGGCTACATAGGTGTATTTACTTTGTGATACTCATGACTCGTGTAAACATCCTTACATATGTAATACTTAAAGTTTACTTTAAAAAGAAATACAGAAAAGTGTTGTTTCCTTTTTTCTAAAGCAAACATTTAACCTCAGAGAAATTAACTATAGAAAAACATACTGTGTTTTATTTCATCCTACCTGGTTAACGTTATCTGGAATATTTGATAGCCGGCAATAAAAGAGGCCAATCTTGAAAGACTTTGTTTTCCAGAACCACCAACACCCACCAGCAATGCATTTCCACAGGATGTTCGAATTATTCGCGAAATCTGTTTTGAGATTTAAAAAGTGCTTATTTGAAAAAAAAAAAAAAGGATGCAGATGTTTATACTTTCTTATATGAAATGAGTCCAAATTTTGATCATGTGTTTCTAGGCGATACTAGACTTTTTGCTTGTTAATGGTCTATCTCAGAATCTTTAAAATTAAAGTTTAATATTGATATGTCCAGCTGGAATCTTTCCTTTACCATCTATATTTACATCATGAAGAACAGAACAAACCAGATCTACTTCCATTTTAAAACTATTCTGTGTGTATGTTCATGTGTGTGTCTGCATGTATAATTTTATTATTTTTAGAGCCAATAGGTAGTGGAGCTGCTCTTCCCAATCTGCAGAAGACATAAGAAATGTTTAGAATTGTTTTTGATTATTCATCAGCCTAACACACCGAACCATGTAGACACCAAACTCAGCAATGAATACTAACTCTATCATATCTCTGCCAACAACTTTTTTCTTTTAGTACCACAATTCTATTTATAGTGGTGAAAGCGGGACATTAGAAGCCAACTTGGAGAGGCAGCCTTTCATCTGGTGTTGCTTTTCTATGGTTGATTTCCTCAGTGAAGATAAGACTCGAATTGTGGCTCAAATCTTAGGCAGGCAAATTGAAGACATTGCTAAAAAGCTGTCTTTTATATTACTGTCACTGATTAGGGAGAAAGTCTAGATGGATCACTAAATTCACTATCATCACTAAAAATAAAATTTTTTAAAAGACAAATTTTATAGATGGTGGATCAATAATGACACCCTGGTATGTGTAAATTCTATCATATTAATCACTTATGGTTTTGTACTCAGAATAGCATCTCAGAACCCCAAGATCTAGCCACAGTGAATGCTCAATAATTACTTGTTGAATAGATGAGTATGAAAACAGCCCTTTTTGGTGTTATCTCTAACTGGCTTCTAGTCTATTCTCTCACCAGTCCTGTATACCAACCTTACCCCTGTCCCATCACCAGTAAGCCAGTCGTAACACTAATAATTTTTAAAGAACAGAATCCCCATAATATCAAAATATAATTTGAAGGAAGTATATTTTTTCACAAGCTTCTCCATACTTTATTTTTTGAGATGGAGTCTCATTCTGTCACACAGGCTGGAATGCAGTGGCGCAATCTCAGCTCACTGAAACCACTGCCTCATGAGTTCAAGCAATTCTCTGCCTCAGCCTTCTGAGTAGCTGGGATTACAGGCACCTGCTACCATGTCCAGCTAATTTTTTGTATTTTTAGTAGAGACGGGGTTTCATCATGTTGGCCAGGCTGGTCTTGAACTCCTGACCTCGTGATCTACCTGCCTCACCTTCCCAAAGTGCTGGGATTGCAGGGGTGAGACACTACACCTAACATACTTTCTAAAGGTTCTCCGTACTTTCTTGTCGACTCAGTGTGCCAAAAGCTCTGAACCCAAAACCATCTATTTGCCCTTGAAAGACATTTGCTGTCATGTAGTTGGATTCAAATAAAGGGTTTCTTATTAAGCCTCTGTTTTCTAGACCAGTGAACTGACCCAACCTATGTACACTCTTCTATACAATACCTGACAGTATATTCTCTCAAAAAATTTATCTATGAAATATATTAAGCTTTTACATGATCTATATATATCAGTAAATAGGGAATAGTTAGAACCTTAATAAGATGAGTCATTGCATCTTTAAAAAACACCAGATCAAGAGATGTTCCTCTAATGAGTTCATTGAACTGTCTCTGGTAAAATTGAAGTTTCTCAGACAGAAAGTCAAAGGATGGCACCTAGGGGTGGGGAGAAAGAGAAAAACATAATATTTAAGATCCAAATATGTATTAAAGTAGCAATTGTACAGACACTCAAAGGTAATTTTAAAATGTATATATCTTTTTTAAACTTTATGGATTTCCAGAGGTGCCTCACGTATTAGTCTCCTTTTAGTCATTTTCATTTTCTAAGGCCTGAAACTTAACGGCATTAGTTGGTTTCTAGTGCAAAATCATTTCTGACCCTTCCCTAACAACTCCTATCCATGGTAATTAACACATTCATATAAGAGATATATTATTCTTAGTTTTTATTTGCTTTTTAATATTGTTCGTGGCTTTCAAAAGTATAAAGAAATTTTACATTATTTATGGAGTCAAATCCACAAGTCTGTTGTTCTGAAATAAATCCATACCCATTTTCTTTGTTTTGCTAATTGTTCCTCCCCATCTAATTCTTTGATCTACATACAACTTTATGTTTTAGAGTCAAGGTCTCACTCTGTCACCCAGGCTGGAATGCAGTGGCACGATCATAGCTCACGGCAGCCTTGACTTCCTTGGCCCTGCGATCCTCCTACCTCAGCTCCTCCACATTGCGGGAATTACAGGCATAAGCCACTTCACCGGGTTCTACATGCGCTTCAAAATTACTTTGTTACTTATATATAACCTTGTTTTTAAAAGTCCTTTGAAATCTTGTTTCAAGTTTCATTAAACCTATATATTAATTTAGAAAGAACGGTATGATGCTATTTAAGTTTTATCATGTTCATTCCTAGATGTTTAATATTGTTGTTGCTGTTAAATGAAATGCTTATGGTATATTTTCTGTCTTGTTGGCAAGTGTTGGTAAGTTTTTTCTGTGCAGGGCAAGATAGTAAATATTTTAGGCTTTGTGGCCCATTCAGTCTCTACTCACCCCTGTCATTGTAGTGCAAAAGCAGCTATGGCCAATATTTAAACCAATGGGTGTTTTAATAAAACCTTATTATTGAACACTGAAATTTGAATTCTACATAATTTTTACATGTCACACAATATGATTTTATTTATTTATTTTTTGGTAACTATTGAAAAATGAAAAATCAGCCGGGCACAGTGGCTCACACCTGTAATTCTAGCACTTTAGGAGGCTGAGATGAGTGGATCACTTGAGGTCAGGAGTTTGAAACCAGCCTGACCAACATGATGAAACCTTGTCTCTACTAAAAATACAAAAAATTAGCCAAATGTGATGGCGGACACCTGTAATCCCAAGACCAACATGGTGAAACCATGTCTCTACTAAAAATACAAAAAATTAGCCAGGCGTGGTGGCAGGCACTTGTAATCCCAGCTACTAGGGAGGCTGAGGCAGGAGAAGCTCTTGAACCCAGGAGGCAGAGGTTGCAGTAAGCTGAGATCACGCCACTGCACTCCAGCCTGGGTGACAGAAAGAGACTCCATCTCATAAATAAATAAATAAAATCCTTCTTAGCTAATAAGTCTGATGAAAACAGGCCAGTGGGCTGGATCTGGCCCAGAAACTGTAATTTGCCAACCCCTGGTATAGGTATAGAGGATAGTTATTTCATATTTATATAATGCGTGGTCACCTCACTGAACTCTCTCTCTCTCTCTTTCCCTCCCTCTCTCTCTTCCTTTTTTTTTTTTTTTTTGAGATAGGTCTTATTCTGTCACCCAGGCTAAAGTGCAGTGGCACAATCTCAGGTCATTGCAGCCTCAAACTTCTAGGCTCAAGTGATCCTCCCACATCCACCTGCTGAGTAATTGGGAGTACAGGACCATGCCACCACACCCAGCTAATTTTTAAATTTTTTTTGGAGAAACAGGGTCTCACTATGTTGCCTAGGCTAGTCTCAAACTCCTGGGCTCAAGAAATCCACCCACATCAGCCTCCAAAGTGCTGGAATTATAGCAACTCTATGGTGGGGCCCTGGTATAAAGATAAATATCTAGTTAGGTGAGTGATCTGAAAACCTCTTTTTAAGAGATGAAAATAAATACCAATTCATATATTTTGGGTACTTCAAACAGAGTGTCTTCAGGTTCATCACCAGTTGGTTCTGGCATGTCACGGAGAAAATCCACAAAGTATGGTTCAGGAAGAATACACGATGCTGCATCAGAGCCAATATTTTCTTCAACTGCACGAATAAGATGGGCATTGAACCACTGCTCATCTTCAGGAGTTATAAATCTGAAAGGAAAATGTAGTAGTAAGAATGTGAAATATGAAAGCATCTTTTCTAACTGAACATGTCCCTTCACATCTTCTCAGCCCCACCCTGCACCTTCTCAATTCAGGAAAGGGAAACAATATGTTCTGCCTTTTGATAAGAAGGGCATAACCCCATCCAAGAAAGTTATACCATTAATAGCATTACTTATAGGAAATACAGATGAATCACTTAGGTGGATCAAAAGTCCCTAAAATTTGCGATAGGAGTGCAGAAGTGACAGTCGGTCGTGGACGAGCGTCCTCTTTCTGGGTTAGTGGGTTCAGTGCACAAAGGTCCCTTTCGGGTTTACAATATCACTGAGGGAAGAGAGGACAAAGAGGGGTAACATTTGACAAGTATCACCCTTGTGTGAGACATGGTAGATACTTTACAACTTTGTGAAATTAGTATTATCATCCATGGTTTATAGACGAGGAAATGGAGGCCCAGAAAGATGACTGAATTTAACTTTAACGGGATTACTTAACTTCAAAGGGATGAAATCAGGTTTCCCCACATAAAACCTACAAACAGCTCACAATTTGTTGAAAATATGCACAACAAAAATGTGCCTGTGAATGTTAACTCTAATGATCCGGTGACTTATAAAGGTGTATTGTTGAAGTCATACTCAAGTAAATTGGCAGAGCATTGTTTTAAGGCGGTGGGCAGATGAGAGATGCCATTAATGCTTCACAAGCCTCACAGCAAATTATGACAATGCTCCTTATTCTACTTATCTGAATAGACAATGCAAAAATTAACCAGCCAGTCACGGTGGCTCACACCTGTAATCCCAACACTTTGGGAGGCCAAGGCAGGCGGATCACCTGAAGTCGAGAGTTTGAGACCAGACTGAGCAGCATGGAGAAACCATGCCTCTACTTAAAAAAAAATTAGCTAAGCGTGGTGGTGCATGCCTGTACTCCCAGCTACTTGGGAGGCTGAGGCAGAAGAATCGCTTGAACCCACGAAGCAGAGGTTGCAGTGAGCAGAGATCACACCATTGAACTCCAGCCTGGGCAACAAGAGTGAAACTCCATCTCAAAAAAAAGAATTAACTGAGTAGTATAAATTTCTCAGGTTGTACATTTAAACTCAAATGCCACAATATGCACCTATCTGCAATTACTCTGTTGCACTCGTGTTTGAAAAGTGACAGGAGAGTAGAGATTGAAGCGCACTCCTCAGCTTTTATGGTCAACATTCCTTGCCAAATTCTGGAAAGATCTCGAAGATTGAAGATGTAATGAAATTTAGAAGGAGTTGGCAGCATCTTCACCTACAGACAAAAAAATGTAACACTCTCAATTAGTTTTTAGATACAACTAAAAGTAGAATTACTTTTAGAACTGTCTCACAAATCCTATTTTAGATAAAATCTGCTGAGTAAATAAATCAAGGTTAAGTTCATATTTTGTGACAACACTGACAGAAAAAAACATCATAAATATACCAACTTAGGATTTAAAGGACCATAAGCTCTTGGATAGGATGGACTCAAGACCAATGCACTGGATGCAGATTCCAAAGCCTTGTTCTACCACCATCAGTTGGCTTTGAAAAGTCACTTTCCCCAAGTTCTTAAAAACTATATGAATTGTGGGAATTATTATCCCTAATCATTGGTAGTGTATATGTGGAAATAGGTCATAGCAAAAAACTGAATGTGAGTTGATTGTCATGCAGGTAAGAACAATGAATGTTCACTTTTAAAGTTAATAATGACTGTCTTCTATAAATTGCTTTGATTAGGGTCCTTAATGTGTTCGGAGTTCCATAAATATATCTGCATATCATAACCTGGATTTTACTGTGTGGATCCAAACTCAGTTAACAGTCTTTCGTATATCTGTATATCCACAATAAGTGGACAGGCAAGTCTGACATGCAGCTGTAAGCATAGTAATAGATGTTTTTTCTGTTAGAGCACAAAGACTGTATTCAGCTATGCTAACTTGCTTTCTACCAACTTCTAGAATATAAAAAGGCAAAGTTGTAACAATAGCACATTTTTACCCAGAGAGATACCCTTTAAGGGGTAAACTTGAGGTACTCTAGATATGGAATGAATTGATGGCCACATATAAAGATCATAATTGATATCCTTAGCATCATTTTTAAAAGTAAAAATAATGATAATTCTGGTGATACAAATTCCCCACACAATGATTTCACTAAAGCAAATGCTTTCTTTAGCATCTGTTCAGAAATGAAGTTCTTTCTATACTGAAAAATTAGCCTATTGAGTTTGTAATTTTTACAGGCTAATTCAGAGTGCTAGTTAAAACAGCAAGTAGCATGGGGAGATGAAAAGAAGTGTATTTTATCAACCACCTATCAACTTCCCTTTTTACTCAGTTCCATTGCAAGCTAAAATGTTCATCCTACCCACTCAAATGTAAAACATAGAGTTATATTACCAATATGCAAAAACACTCAAAGGGGTAAGGTTATTTACATATTGCTTTTTTTTTTTAGTGGGATCTTGCTCTGTCATCCAGGCTGGAGTGCAGAGGTGCAATCTTTGCTGACCGCAACTTCCACCTCCCGGGTTCAAGCAATTCTCCTGCTTCAGCCCCTGAGTAGGTGGGATTACAGGCACACGCCACCACGCCCAGGTAATTTTTGTATTTTTAGTAGAGATTGGGTTTCACCATGTTGGTCAGACTAGTCTCAAATTCCTGACTTTGTGATCTTCCCGCCTCTGCCTCCTAAACTGCTTGGATTATAGGTGTGAGCCACTGCGCCCAGGTGAATATTGCTTTTTTTTTTTTTTTTTAAATGTTAAAACACTACAGCCATCATGGCAGCCATTGGCAACTGAAGCAGTCATTAAAGAGAATCTGTAAAAAGTTCTTTTCTTTCCTTCTCATTATTTGTTAACCTGCTTCATTCCTTCTCTTCTATTTCCCTCTGCTTTTCATTACCTTCTTTCTTTTCTCACCTGCTTCTGCTTTAAAGCTATATAAAGTTGGGCTGATAGACAAAGCATGAATGGATTAAAGATAGACAGGGCTTTGTGAAGGTGGGAGATTTGAAGAAAAGAAAAGTAGAGGTGGGCAGAGGAGGAAGATTCATTCGTTTTTCTTCTTTTTTGTGTGTGTGTGTTTTGTTGAGTTTTAGGTTTGGGGGTACATGTGAAGAACATGCAAGATTGTTGCATAGGTACACACGTGGCAGTGTGATTTGCTGCCTTCCTCCCCATCACCTATATCTGGCATTTCTCCCCATGCTATCTCTCCCTAATTCCCCACCCCCCACTGTCCCTCCCCTATTTCCCCCCTATAGACCACAGTGTGTGATACTCTCCTCCCTGTGTCCATGTGTTCTCATTGTTCAACACCCACCTATGAGTGAGAACATGTGGTGTTTGATTTTCTGTTCTTGTGTTGGTTTGCTGAGAATGATGGTTTCCAGGTTCATCCATGTCCCTACAAAGGACACTAACTCATCAGTTTTGATGGCTGCAAAGTATTCCATGGTGTATATGTGCCACATTTTCCCTGTCCAGTCTATCATCGATGGGCATTTGGGTTGGTTCCAGGTCTTTGCTATTGTAAACAGTGCTGCAATGAATATTCATGTGCATGTGTCCTTATTGTAGAACAATTTATAGATTCATTCATTTTTCAATGACTGAGCACCTCCCCGGTACTTAAGAAGACACAGTGGTAAACAGAGGACAGCTAACTCTGCTGCCATTAAGGGGGGTTTTATTTTAGTTGGGGAGCCTGCGAATGAACAGGAAACAAATATATATGTAAAGCAAATAATGATAGAAGCCATGGTTAAAAATCAGGGTCAGGAGACAGACAATGACTAGGATAGGGACACAGGCAGTCACTTTAGAGGACAATCGAAGACAGTCCCTCTGAAGGTGAGAATGATGAGCCTCAGCTAAAGTATGGCAGCTTAGCAGTGCAATAAACCTGGGGTGCTCAAGGAAACATGAGCAGGGCGACTCAGCTGGAGCAGGATGATAGTGGGCAAGGGAAGTAAGCAGAGCCTGCTGACATTGTAAGTGCAACTGGGAATCTACTGGTGGTTTTAAGAAGGAGTAAAGATCTCTGGTTTACTTTCTAAAAAATATCATCTAGGACTGTGAAAAGAACAGACTCCAAGACAGCAAGAAGAAGGCAAGGAGATTGGCTAGGAAGCTACTGAAGAGACAGGGGACAGGTGATAGGAGCACTTATCAGGGTGGTCATGGGGGATGGCGAGAAGGGCTCAGCTTTGGGATAGATTTTCAAGGGGAGGTCACTGAGATTTACTGATGGACTGGATTTAGGCCATGAGAAAGACATAAATTAAGGATGATGCCCAGTATTTTCAGCCTAAGAAGCAGAATAATTGGTGTTGCTACTAAGATGCAGAAGTCTGAGGGAGGATTGTATTTACGGACATTTAAGAGTTCTGTTTGGACATGGAAACTTTGAGATGAGTATCCGACATCAAACACTGATGTCTATTAAGCAGTTAGAAATCAGCCTGAAGGCAGGCAGAGAGGCCTGGGATGGAGATATCCATTTTGAAGGCATCGCCACAGGGATGGTGTTTAAAGCGCTGAAGCTGGATGAGGCCACCTAGGGAAAGAATGTAGATAGACAAGAGGGCCCAGCATCGAGACCAGGTACATTTCAGGATTTAGAGGAGGGGAAGAAGAAGGGGGACTTTAATGAAGTAGCCAGTGAGCTAGGAAGAAAACCAAGAATATGGGGACCCTCTGAAGCCAAGTGAAGAAAATATCTAGAGGGATCATTTAGGTCAAATGCTGCTAAAAAGTCAAGTAAGAGGAGAAGGAAAATAAACCTTGAGATGTGGCAAGATCGAGGTCTTTGGTGACCTAGACGAGAACATTGGGAACGAAAGCTTGTGCAGAATGGGTCAAAGAGGTAAAGAAAAGACACTGAGGATGTGGAGCTAGGAAACATCCAAATAACAAAAGAAACTGATGGAGAGACACCTGGCAGGGCAAAGCCTTTCAGAAAACTACATATATAAGCACATTAAATTGAGCAACAGTCCTATTGGAAACCCCATACATCTTACCACAGAAAACTATCTCAGATGCTCAGTCCTTGCCACTCATTTTGGAGTTTCTTTAAAAGAGGCACAATGGCAAGTGCAAAGGCCCTGTGTTGGCAAGGAGCAGGACCCCACACTCATCACTGAAGGTGGCCACATGGAAGAGCATCTCATAAGTAACCCCAAATTCCTCTTCTGATAATTCTGTATCTAGAAATCCCCCAGTCTACCCAGGAATCTGAAAGGCTGGCACACTCCAGGTTTCCCAGGAGACAAGCACCTGCCCACGTGTGTGTAATTGGCCTAATGGATGTGTAGCGAATTACGACAACTAATCCCTATCTCCTTCATGACTTTTTGTCAAATATATCAACCTCATTTTTATCTCAGACCTATACCTAATTGCCTTTTTATGAGTACTGCCTTAAGTCATCTGGGGAAAGCTGCAGGTTTGCTGAGCTTTACTTAGGGCACTGACTTGTGTATGCAAATCTAGCCAATTTTTGTTAAGAACACTTCCATCCATTTACTAACTCACGCTCCAGCTCAGAGAAACACACAAGTTAGACCCAAGTCCTAGTTGGCTGAGAATAGATAGAAATCCATGTATTCAGTCAATCAATACGCATTTGAGTGTCTGACATAGTTTGGTGGAGGGAGACAGATAATACAAACAAAGATTTACAAATCAGAGTAGCAAGCGGAAATGCAGTGTTCTCATTTCAGCAAAATTCTACTTTGTCTTGGATGTCATGTCTGGTTTACAGTAACATCTCATACATATGGAAAGCATCATTTAGTTAGAACATTTGCTCCCTGGAAGGAAAAGGTGTCATAAATCTATTTGAGCACCTAATTTCTCTTTTCCAAAAAAACACCACTACCTATGATATTATGATAACTTAATGAGCCACGAGGTGAGAACTAGGGCTGAATAATAGTTGCCTTCTTAAAAGTTATTGACAACAAACCATTCTTTACCTTAGTCCATTGCCACAGCACTCTGCCCACTGAGACTAAATTCACAATCATCTCACATATTTGAGGCTTGAAACTTCTACAAGGATCAAAGTATCCACATCCAATAATTCCTGAAAGATAAGCAGGATTGAAGGTATAAGCGTAGTAAAAGATTTCAAAGTATATGTTTATCCCAGTGAACAAATCATTACAAGGCTGACTACGCTTGGTGTTTTTCAGAATCTCTCTGAAAGGATCAACTTAGACTGGGAATCATAGTGGATCCAGCCAAGCTTAGTATGCAGTGATAAGTGTTTTATATGTATTGACTCATTTAATCCCCCACCCAGCACCCTACAAGAAAGAATACAAGGTAGATATTATTATTACTAGTCCCATTTTAATATGAGCTTAGTAACTTGCTCAAGGTTACACGGCTTGCATGTACACAAATTTGAGATGTGAACCCAAGCAACCTGGCCCTAGAGTCTGGAAATCAGTATTCACCCTGAAGCATATGTGAGCTTAGAGATATCTCCCTCATCTTACAGAGAAGGAGACCAGGCCCAGACAAGCGAGGTCGATTGTTCAAGGTCACATGGATTGGTATTGGCAGAACTGGAATCAGGACCATTTTTTCCAGCCTACAGTCAGTCACCACTCTGGCCTGGGCTAGACAGGGAACACCCAACATAGTGATGGTCTGACTGTTATCATCACTCTCAGAAAGACTGGGGTGTAGGTTTATAGACTCTTCTTAAAGTCTCAAAATATCTTTTAGACTGTAGAAAGATTTACTCTGCTTCACTCCAGTGAGACTACACGCTGCATAGTGTGTTCAGCTCTGAGCATGGTATTTTCAGAGAATTATAAATATAATTATCTTCTTAGAGATGCAGAACAGGTTTATGAAGAGTGGAGACTAAAGGAACTGGAGTTTGTTCACACTGATTGAAGAATCACTCTGGAAAAGTGACATTTTCCTCCAAATAGTGGTTGATTGTGCTAAATGCCTGTAAGGCCCTTTTGCTTCCTGAAATCCTATATTCTAGATTTCTAGCTTTCTGTGGGACAAACATGTTATAAGAAGCATGAGATGGGGATTAGCACCACCCCTCTGCCATGCACTAGCTCAAAGGCCTTGATTGGGCAGCTATTTCAACTCTCCAAGGCTCAGTTTCTGATTGGTTTATTTTCCATATTTGTTTAAATGTATCAGTCATACCAAAGAGTATGTCAAATAAGATTAACAAATAAGCAAACCCTCACATACTGGCCACCAGACTGATAAATACAACCTTGCCCAGCACATTAGAAGCCCCTGTACATTCTTCCTTGCTCACAACTCCTCCCTTCCACCAGAGGTCACCACTTCTCCAACTTGAATATAATCAGTAACTTGCTTTTCTTTATAGCTTCGCCACTTAGGTTTTTGAACTTTTGAACTTTTTAAAAAAACTTTTGAAATTCAGTTTAGTGGAATTATATTTTTCCTGTGATTTTCTTCTTCCATTCAGCATTGTATTCCTGGGCTTCATCCATGGTGAAGCATGTAACTGTATTCATTCATTTTCACTGCTGCATAGCAGGCCACTGTGTGCTTGTGATGGAATGCATTTACCCAGTTTTACTTATGATAAATAGCTGGATTATTTCATGGTTTTGCCATCATGCATACTGCACTATGAACATTTTTGTATAAGTCTGCCGGCATGCATGTGAAAAATCAACTACAAATGGATTGAGGCCCCAGATATGGAAGGGAAAACTATACAATATCTGGAAGAAAATATAAGAGAATACTTGTATGATATCTGGATAGAAAGGAACTTCTTAAGACTCAGAAAGCCCAAACCATTAAAAAAAAATGATAATTTGATATAAACCTAGAAGTGGAACTGCTAGGGACGAGCACGTGCCCTATTTTACCAGCAATAATGCCAAATTGTTATCCAAAGGGTTTGTAGCAATTGACACTCCCACCAGCAGGCAATGAGAGTCTCAGTTGCTTCACATTCTCACCAATGCTTGATTTGGTCAGAATTTTTTATTTCTGTAAATCTAGTGGGTATGAAATGGTACTGCTTGGTGTTTCTCAATTGTATTTTCCTGAATACTAATGATGTTTTCAGGTTTTACTTTGTTTTTTGGCTATTTAGTTTCCTCTTTTTAAAGTGCCTTAATTGTTTGCTCATTTTTATATCAGGTTGTTCGCTTTTCTTGACTGATTTATAGGATTTCTCTAAATATTCAGAATACAAATTTTGCGTTATTATATATGTTACAATTTTTCTTCCACTTTGAGGCTTGTCTTTTCACTCTCTTAATGTTATTTTTTAATGTAGAGAAGTTTTACATTTTAATCTAGTCACAGTTGTATATTTTTTCTTTATTTTTGTGCTTTCTGAGTCTTATTTATGAAGTCCTTTCTTACTCAGAGGTCACTCAGCTATTTCCGTATATTTTCTTCCAAATGTTTTATAGCCTTGCCTTCCATATTTAGGTCCTTAATTCATCTGTAGTTGATCTTGTTCTTGGCATGAGGTAGCTGTCTAAATTCAATCATTTCCCTATAAGAATTACTAAGTATCCCAGAACTACTTATTAAAGTCTACCCTTTCCCTTCTGACTACAGTACTTCCTGTATCAAGTAATTAACATTCTTATATGCATGGGTCTGCTTCTCACGTATGTATGTAAGAGGTTTTGGGGGGCTTGGGAATGTTTTTCTTGGTTTTTTAGACAGGATCTTACTCTGTTACCCAGGCTCGAATATAGTGATGTGATCATAGCTCACTGCAGCCTCAACCTCCTAGACTCGAGCAATCTGCGGGCCTCAGCCTCCCATGTAGCTAGGACTACAGACGTGTGCCACCACGCCCAGCTAATCTTTTAAACTTTCTGTAGAAATCAAGTCTCTCTATGTGTCCAGGCTGGTCTTGAACTCCCGACCTCCAGAAATCCTCCCACCTTGGTCTTTCAAAGTGCTAAGATTATAGGCATGGCCTGGTCTATACATAAGCTGTGATGGTGCGATTTATGTGATTTGATGTCACATTTGATGTCAAGAATCTAATTTTCATTAACATATTGAAGTGCTACATTTGACTTTGTATAATATACCATTAATCTCTGATCTTTGTGTTGTCATTCATTAGCCCAAATTTCTATGATTAACCATATCCTGAAAACCAAAACACAAAGGTTCCTTACGTCTAATGCTAACTTTCAAAAAGCGTATTTCTAAATATCTCTGAGTCTTAGAATAGGCTATAAGAATGGGTCATGTTAGTATTTAGTCCCTCTTTCCTGGTATTTAGCTCTCCATTTCACATACCTAACCCACTTTAGACAGAGCCTGTCTCTTAAATGAAGTTCTGTGTGGTTTACATCCATTATGTAATGCAATATAATAATTAAACACTAAGAATATTCATACCAAAAATTTTGTCTATTGAAGCATTTGAAGGCAATGTACAATTAAACACAGTAAATTGTCTTTTTAAACGTTGTGGAATATCATTTCGACCACCTCCAGGGTGGATCATTGCTGCTATGAGCTGCACATCAACAATAGTAGTGAAGTCTCCAGGCTTGTCCAAGCTGTACATTCCTTCCATTTCCATCATCTGTCGCACAATCTCATTAGTTATCTGAAATTTCACACAGCAATATTTTTGTAACATAGCACTATCATATCCCTCCATAACTTCAATAAAACAGTACAAATGAGATTAGAAGAAAACATTCAACTCTTATCAATGAAGTGTTTGTAAATGTCGCTGATCACCTTCAAGGTAATTTGACTTAAATTATGCCACCCATGAACTCTAGATCGTAAGTTAAACAGGCATGGTTCGAGTCCAAGGTGCCCTTCACCACACTGATCAAACTAATTTCGAAATAAATTTAGATATGTGAGTTATATTTGGTTAAATTACATTAGTAGTCCAAGTTACAGCAAGTTTTGCTGCATACATCTTTCATACTCAAAATTCAACACTTAAAAACCTTTAGATCAGAATGTAGGATGGTTTCAGTCCTGAGCTTTCAGTATCATATGACTGACTCTCAGGTTTTTAGTTTTATGTTCTCATCTTCTCTGCAGCCTCCAATACTGCCAACTCCCCTCCTTGAAAATGTTTCCTCTCTTGGTTTCAGAGACTTGTTTTTTCCAGGTCCACCTCAGGACTCCAGGATCACTTCCTAAGCCACTCTTCGTCCACCCATCCCTCACATGTAACAGTTCTCCAGGGTTCCATCCTGGGCTCTTTCCTCTTCTCATTATTCCAGGAAATGCTATCTCAACCCTACATTCTAAAGAATCTCAAATCTGTAACTCTAGCTTTAGATTCCCTTGTAAGCTCTACATCTGTATATTCAAGTCTCTATTGCGCGTCTATTAGTGAATACCACACAAGCACCTCAAATGTAACAATCTTTCATTCAATGAACATTTCATGAATGACTACTGTGTGCCAGCCTCTCTTGTAGCATAGACAAAATTTTCTGTCTTCATGAAGCACACGTTCTAATGGTGAGAGACAAGATGTAGAGATGCATGTTGATATGTAAATAAAATGGTATACTCTCAGACCTTTGTAGAATATAGGAGATGCTCAAGGATGTGACTCAAGGAGAGCAGGGGAGGCTTCACCTGACATGACATATAAGCCAAGACCTGAAGAAGGTGAGAAAACAGGCCAGCTCAATACCTAGGGGAAGAGCATTCTAGGCAAGCGAAACCGCAAATGCAGAGGTGCTGAGTGAACATCATATCCAGTGTATACAAAGATCAGTAAACGTGGCATAAGCAAAAAGTCATGGGAAGAGGGAGATGAGGTCAAAATGTGTAGGGTCTTGGGTCATGGTAAGGATTTTGGTATTTATATTTTACATGTCTCTTTGGAGGATTTTGAGCAGAAGAGTGTGTGGCGATCTGACTCTTGTTTTAATTGGTTGATGATGTGAGAACAAGCTGAGAGGGGTAAGGGAAACAGGAGGCGGTGAGGAGGCATTTGTAATGATCAAGAAGAGAGCTGGTGGTTGCTGGCACCAGATGGTAGCAATGGAGGTGATGAGCAGTGGTCAAATTTTAGATACAGTGTGAAGATAGAGTCAACATGATTTTCCCACGGAGTAAATGTGGAGGTGCTATTTGCTAAGATACAGAAGACTGTTGGAGGAGGAGGTGTTGGAGGTGTTAAATTTGCGATCCAACCAGACATCCCCAGTTGGATACATGAGTTTGGAATTCAGCAGCACTTCAGCTTACGGAAGATAAGCCTGAACCTGATCTAAACATGCCTCCACCCTCCTTGCCTTCCAGGAACTGCTGAGGTCTATCTGTCTTGGAGCAGACACAGGCCATATAGAACTGTTTGGTTTTTTGCCTCAGGATGAGTACTAAGCTTCTACAGTGTCTGAGGTGAACAGGAATAAAGAGCAGAATGGGACCCATCCTGGTAGAACTAAAGTAGATGGTGTCAATGAGGCAGTGTAGGTAGGTGGGAGGGAGGTACTGGGCATTCTACCAGAAGCATGTGAACTTCCTGGCAACGTCGGTAAGGTCTTCTAATAGGGAGTGGCCTAGATTGATAGATGATCACAACTAGGACCATGGTGTGTGGCACAGTTAAATAAATAAATAGTTGTTTGGTTTTCATTTTTTGTTTTTGTTTTTTTGAACATCAGGTGCTCCTCAGAGATTATGCAGAAGAAGAGGTTAGAGTAATGATAAAACCCTAGGGAAAGGCAGAAGAGAGGAGCTAAGAAAAGATACTGAAGTCAAGTAGCCAAAGAGACAGGAGGCATTTGTTACAGAAAACCACGTAGGAGCTGAGCATGGTGGCTCACGCCTGAAATCCCAGCACTTTGGGACGCCCAGGCAGGAGGATCACCTGAAGTCAGGAGTTCAAGACCAGCCTGGCCAACATGATGAAACCCTGTCTCTACTAAAAATACAAAAATTAGCCAGGCGTGGTGGTAGGCGCCTGTGATCCCAGGTACTTGAAAGGCTGAAGCAGGGAAAACTGCTTGAGCCCGGGAGGCAGAGGTTGCAGTGAGATAAGATCATGCCACTGCACTTGAGCCTGGACAACAGAGCAAGACTCTGTCTCAAAAAAAGAAAAAAAAAAGCATGCGGAGATTTCAAGAAGGGAGAAAGTCAGCTATAACAAAAAAGTGGAAAAAAGACTGAGGATTGACAGTATACTTAAAAACATGATGTTTTCAACCAAGTTATTAACATTTATATATATATATATATATATATATACATAAAAATACTAACTCAAGATCATCTATATAAGATATTTCAGTCATACCTGATCTCCCCACTCATTAATCACAGGCATATTAATATCATCAATAAATACAGTCATTTTTCTCCCTCCTGGCGGCCCATATGTGCTTCCCATCCGCTTATCCACATAGCTTTCAATTGTTCTCTAGAGAGAAGGAAATGGTTTATGTGTTAGATTTTAATCCATATTTCTAAAAAATATTGAGTATTCTTGTCAAAGTAGAATATAATTTACTTATGTATTTAATAAGTATACATATAATTATTAAAATATATGTTGTTAAGTTTTTAAAAAATAAGGCATTGGAGTGTTATCCTTCATTTACATTACAATAGATATGCTCCAATGTTCAGCTCCAGTCTCAATATTAGGTCAAACTACGCTATTTGGATTTGGCTTCAACCTTAGCCTTAGGAAAGCTAAATAGCTGAATGCCAAGTGCAGCACGGTTTCTTTTGAATATATAATATTGTTACATTTTATATGTGTACACATTTTATTGTAACCACCAATTTAAAATGTATTATGTTGATAATATTACAGCAAAAGATAGATTTTACCTGAAACATCATTGGTTCTGTGGCAGATGAAAAGTTTAAACTTTTAGATAGCTGTATTTCAGGATCATATTTTTTCAAATAGGCCTTAACCATGACAGTTTTTGCAGTTCCCTGCTCTCCTGTGAGCAAAACAGCCTGCAATCATAGGATAACCGTGTTGAAATGTGTTACATGTTGAGTTTCAAGTATCTTATGATTCTAAGGTAGTCTTCTATAAATTAACATAACTAATTTTTAATAACTTTTTAGAATTACATCTACATCAAAATAAGTCCCAGTTGTATTACAGATTTAGGCGTAAAACATGTACGATAAAAGTGCTGGAAGAAAATATGGTTGCATATTCCCATGGCCTCGGGAATACGAAAGAGACATTGTAAGCAGACACCCACTTTCCTTAGCAATCTGGAGTCAGCGGTACAGAGGCTACCGAGTTGGAGTGTCTCCTTGGTGTTTCCCTCAAATGACACTACCTACAGGCCCTTGAGTTGAAATTTGATTTTTCTATCTGTAGTGTGTGAAAAGGGTTGTGTTTCTTATGTGGTTTGTGATCATTTAAGCAACTATCTATTAAACTTACTTTATGTTGTTTTGCAATGGTGTCTATCAAAAAATTTGTTCTAACATTGTCAACATTTGGAACCAAAATTGATGCATATTCTGGAACACTGTCAGTTGGATAATAATATGGCTGAAGTTTCTTATTCCAGTGCTCCCAATCACCTATAGAGTAAGTAAAATTTCATCTTAATAGAACTATCTTCTGCAAAAGTTATCTCATAATACAAAAATATTAAGTGCTATAAACAATCAATAGAATCATATAAACATTTTAAATGTTTTTCCTAAAACACATTAACATATCTGCTTATCTTGTCTATGGCATTTGATAATTTTTTTTCCCTTTTTTATAAAGTCAGCTTTTTAAAAAAAACTTTTAGGTTCAGTGATACACGTGCAGGTTTGTTACATAGGTAAATTGCTTGTCACAGGGGTTTGGTGTACAGATGATTTCATCACCAGGTAATAAGCATAGTACCCAATAGGTAGTGTTTCGATCCTCACCCTCCTCCCACCCCCAACCCTCAAGTAGGCCCCAGTGTCTGTTGTTTCTTTCTTTGCATCCCTGTGTACTCAATATTTAGCTCCCATTTGTAAGTGAAAATATGTAGTATTTTCTATTCCTGAGTTAGTCTGCTTAGGATAATGGCTTCCAGCTCCACCCATGTTTCTTCAAAAGACATAATCTCATACTTTTTATGGCTGTATAGTATTCCATGATGTATATATATCACATTTTCTTTATCCAGTCTACCACTGATGGGCATTTAAGTTGATTCCATGTCTTTTCTATTGTGAATAGTGCTGCAAAGAACAATTTACATTCCTTTGGGTATATACTCAATAATGAGATTGGTGGGTCAAATGGTAGGTCTGGTTTAATCACCAAACTGCTTTCCACAATGGCTGAACTAATTTATATTCACACTAGCAGTGTAGAAGCATTCCTTTTTCTCTACAACCTCCCCAGCATCTGTTGTATTTTGTAAAGTTGACTTTTAACTTGCTAAGTCACCCATTTAGAGAAATCTAGCCTGAAATGGAATTAAAATCAGCTGGTAGTAAAACCAATAATGTAACGGATACCTAGCAGAAAAGCCACATCAACTGAAAAGATGGGAAAGACCAACAAAAGAGTCAATCATTTACTAGATAGATATAGAATATTTGCCATAAGAAATTGATTTCAAAAATTTATTTACATTTTAGCATCTCTGGATGTTCCTTACAATCTACAGTACCATACCATTGCTGTTGCTAGACAAATTGTATTAGTGTTGTTCCTACCACTGTCATTCAGATTGAATTACTTTTATTGATAAGTTTAGCCTCTATTTTAAATGTCTTCAAAAAGATTATACAAGGATTCAGAATTATGCCAAAAAGTTACTGTGTACACAGAACGCATGGAAAGAGAGCACACATTTGATATTGGCAAACCAAATATTCATCATTGGAGTAGTAACCCCAATTTCATGTTTTCTTGACAAAGTAAGCAAAAATAAGTATGTTTAACTTCTAAAACTCTGCCAAATTCTTTTCCAAAGTGGCTGTGCCATTTTGTAGCATATGAGAGCTCTGGATGCTCTATTACCTCACCAATATTTGGCATTATTAAACTTTTTAACTGTAGACATTCCAGTGGCTGTGTGATGATATCCCATTGTGGGGATTTTTTTTGTTTTTGTTTTTGTTTTTTTGAGACAAGGTCTGACTCTGTGGCCAAGGCTGGAGTGTAATGGTGCCGTCTCGGCTCACTGCAGTCTCTGCCTCCGGGTTCAAGTGACTTTCCTGCCTCCCAAGTGGATGGGATTACAGGCACCCACCCACCACGCCTGGCTAGTTTTTGTATTTTTAGTAGAGACAAGGTTTCACCATGTTGACCAGACTGGTGTCAAACTGCTGACTTCAAGTGATCTGTCCACCTTGGCCTCCCAAAGTGCTGGGATTACAGGAGTGAGTCACTGCACCAGACCTCCATTACGGTTTTAATTTGCATTTCCCTGATGACCAATGATGTTGAATATCTTTCACATGCTTTCTTCACCTTTTACATATCTTATTTAGTGAAGTATCATTTGAAATTTCCCACCCATTTTAAAATTTAGATTGGTTGCCTATTGATAGTTATTGGATTATAAGCGTTCTTAACATATTCTGGATAACTTTTTTTTATCAGATATATATGTTTCAAATAGTTCTTTACAGTCTGTGGTTGGATTTTTCATTTTCTTAAGAGTGACTTTTAAATAGAAAAAGAGATATTTCCCCCCATTGCACTGGCTAGATTTTGCTATTTAAAATAGCAAAATAATATTTAAATAATGTTTAAATAAGATCTGTCCCCTTATTTAGGCCTTCTTTAATTTCTCTCAGTGTAGTTTTACAGTTTTAGTGTACGGATCTTACATATATTTTATTAAATTTATTCCTAAGTATTCTCTTTTAGATTCTATTTTTGTTTTTAAGACAGTCTCACTCTGCCTCCCAGGCTGGAGTGCAGTGGCACACTCTCAGCTCACTGCAACCTCCACCTCCTGGGTTCAAGCAATTCTCGTGCCTCAGCCTCCTGAGTAGCTGGGATTACAGGCGTGCACCACAATGCCTACCTAATTTTTAAATTTTTTTAGTAGAGACGGGGTTTCACCATGTTGGCCAGATTGGTCTTAAACTCCTGACCTCAGGTGAGCCGCCCCCCTTGGCATCCCAAAGTTCTGGGATTATAGGTATAAGGCACCGTGCCTAGCCTTGGATTCTATTTTAACTGATGTTTTTAAACTTCAATTTTCAGTTGTTTGTTGTGAGCATATAGAAATATAACTTATCATACTACATGGCCCTTTTGGCCAGTGACCTTCTAAATTCCTTTAGTGGTTCTAATAACTTCTTGAAGATTCATGTCATCTGCAAATAAAGAGAACTTGACTTGTTCTTTTCTAATCTATAGATATTTAATTTTTCCCCCCATTGCACTGTTGAATTTCTAGTAAGTGTTGAATAGAAATGAAGTTGAATAGAGGTGAGAAAGACAACCTTGTTTTGTTCCTGATCTTGGGAAGGGTGTATTCAGTGGTTTACCATTATGTATATCATTAGCCTTAGGTTTTTCGTAGATGTTCTTTGTCCCAATAACAAAGTTCCTATTTTATCACAAAAGAGAGTTAAATTTTGCCAAATGTTTTCTTCATCCATTAAGATGACTGTTTATGGCTTGTTTAGTTTTTAGTCTAATATAGAAGATTAAATTGATCAGCTTTTGAATGTTGATCTTCCATTTCTAGAATAAAAGCCACAGTTGGACTTCATATGTTAGACTTTTTGTATACTACTAGATTCGTTATAATTTTATTTAAAAATTTGTGTCAATGTTCCTGAGGAATATTGGTCTATTTTTTTTTCTTAGAATGTCTTTCTCTGGTTTTGGTATCAGGGTAACACTGTCCTTATGCAATGGGTTCAGAAGTGTTTCTTCCTATTGCATGTTTTATATCTTTTGGAAGAGTTTGTGCACGGTTGGTATTATTTCTTCCTTAAATATTTGGTAGAATTAACCAATAAAATCATCAGAGCCTAGAGTTTTTCTTTGTGGGAAGATTTTTTAACTACAAATTCGATTTCTTTAGTAGATATAGGGCTATTTAGGATATATATTTCTTCTTTTTAAATTTTATTGTAAATTGAAAAATTATAATTATATACATTTAAGAGGAGCAAAATAATGTTATGGTTTACGGATACAATGTGGAATGATTACAAGCAAATCAACATATCAATCACCTCAAATGCTTGTCATTTTTTTGTGTTGAAAATATTTGAAATTTACTCTCTTAGCAATTTTGAAATGTACAACTCATTGGGGAATGTGTCCATTTCATCTACATTGTCAAATATGTTTTTGTAAAGTTGTTTCTAATACTCACTTCATGTTTTTAATGTTTGTGGGGTCTGTAGTGATGTTCTCTCTTTCATCCTAGACTATGGTAATGTATGTCTTCTCTTTGGTCTGATGTCTCTAATAAGAGATTTATTTGATTGATCTTTTCAGATCCATCTTTTGGTTTCACTGATATTTTTCTGTTGCTGTTCTATTTTCTGTTTCATTGATTTCTGCTTTGATCATTGTTCTTTCTTCTGCTTACTTGGGTTTAATTTGCTCTTCTTTTTCTAACTTATTAAGGAAGAAGCTGAAATCATTGTTTTGAGACCTTTCTTCTTTTCTAATACAGACATAAAGTGCTGTAAAGTCTCCCTATTGAAAATTATTATATGACCCAGAATATCTTGGTAACTATTTAATGTGTACTTGAAAAGAATGTATATTCTGCTATTTTGGGCTGGGGCATTCTATAATTTTGAATTAGGGGTATTGATAGTGTTGTTAAAATCTTGCATATACTACTAATTTTGTCTACTTGTTCTATCAGTTATTCAAAATATTGACACCTTTACTATAATTGTGGATTTGTCTATCCATTTCTGTTGTTCTCTGACGCTTCCTCTCTATGCAGATTCCTCCTGTCTCTGGTGCTCTGCCCTGAAAATTCCAGCCACCTTGGCCTCAAATCAACATCTGCCTCCACATTTTGGTGAGACAGCCAATTCTGCTTGATCTTCTTCCCCTCCCTGAGCTGCTGCTTCAAACTGCATTCATGCAGTAAACTAGCGCAATCATCTTGTTACACTTCCCTCCAAGATTTCAGTCCTGTGCTGCCTCTTGTCCAATGTCCGAAAAAATGTTTTATACATTCTGTCCAGTTTTCTATCTTTCTAATATAAGAGGTTAAACCCAGTCCCTATTATGCTATCTTGTCTGGAAGTATAAGTCTCCTTATTTAATTTTAAATCTAGAATAACATCTTCTCCAAAGATGTTAACGTCCATGAAAAATAAAAAGGATGGATGAAGAATGAGCTAAGAAAGGACTGGCTAGAAGTCATCTGGAGTGGACACGTTAGAGCCCTAAATAACCACTAAGTATGTAATATCTTAGTTCATTTCATGGCCACAAATGCTCAGGCAAATGAATTTCATCAGAAGTAGTTATTTAGAGTGGCAAGATTGAATGCCTACAACCCCTCAATATTTTAGTCAACAAAACATTACAGGACCATCCTGAAGAAGGAATATGAGTCTAGATTGTTGTCAACCTTTTGTTAACACCGCCATTAAATATAAGAAAACACCATTGTCTAAACTTATAGAACCAGTTCTAGCTACTTGGAAGAAAATGGCACAAACATCAGTGGACTGCTCTTAAAGAAATGTAGCAATGTATATTTTTGATGGCACAGAGAAAGGTAATTATCTTATTGGCATCCTTATTAGATGCCATCTCAATCCCCTAACCAATTTTCCAACCATGGTTGGAAAATTGCTGTTGATAGATTTCACTCTCTGTAACTTGGGGCCTGGGCTCTAAATAAGGACAAGGTGCTCAGAGGGAGGCAATCTGGGCCTTCAAACAGGATACAACTCTGTGCTGCTCAGAAGGCAGCTCTGTGGAGAGCCTAGCTCTGGATTCTAAGGGAGTACATAACTAGATTTAAAGATTCCTTTAATTGTTAGTTTGCATTTTGAGTTAGAGTTCCCGTTTGCCATCTCAAACCTTCAGCAGCATCTAACACATGTAGAATTATTGGCCATCCTGGTTAAAGATGACCTGCTGAAAAAGTTTATTTATTTCAGTCCCTTTCAAACACAAATTTCCACTTAATCCCCAGTTTCAGTATGATTCTCCCACCCTTAAATATCCTTGGTGTCCCCCAAGTCTAGGAAACCCTGTATTTTACACTATTCAAACAGTAACTCTTTAGTCTTGCTAGTGTGGGGAAGGCCAATTGTCTGGCAGCAGGGCTTTGGAAAGCAGCCTAGGGGGTCTTTTTCTTCAACAGACTTACAACCAGCCCTGTGGTTTTTAGCTCAGCCTTCACCCCAGTTTCCACTTCCTGAGACCTTTGAAGGTCCTGTGATGTGCACTTCTCAATTGCTTCTCAACTCTTCCCACTGCCAGTGTGCTAAATCGACTGCCACTTACCTTTCTGCTTTCTTGCTTTCAAAATTTTGTTATTGCTGTCTACTCTCCTGCTCTATTTATCCTCCAGTTTATTCATTAAAACAAACAACCATTGCTGTTTTTGAGCTTTTAGGAAGAACCAGAGGTAATTATAGTTTTTAGGAAACATATTTTTTCCTCTTTGGAACTTAGAAGAATTGGGGCCTAGGCTCTGGATGAAAGCACCAAATTCAAGGGCATTGCTTTTAAGGAGCAGTGAACTGGGCTCGGCCATGCGTGGAAGGCTGGGGGGCTAAGGTGACAGTGCTGGACCTTGATGAATCTGCTACGTTCATGTCTACTCATTCCAGCATTTCCAACAGGGAAGGGTGGGGCTGATCTGCTCAGTATATCAGCATGCTTTGGATCATGAAGAATCTGTGTTCTCCATGCTGCTACCTTTCCTCTTCCAACATTAGATAGCAGATGATGTACAAGGTATGACTAACTTATTTATGCCAGATTTTACTGAGGCCACTCCAGAAGGATAAGTCAAGAGTCTCAATACCAGTTTCTGGCACAACTAACATGCAAAATTCCACTCTCTTTCAAATGCAAGCCTTTTTCTTAATTGTTTTAATATCCCCTCACAGAACAGTTTATGAAAGCTTATATTTTTCTCATTTGAAAAAAAAATTCATTTCATTTAAGGTATAATTCAGTGGGCTTACCAAAATCAGTAACATAAAACTCATACATGGTTTGATTTGAGCCTTTAGGTATTTCTGGTAAGTCCAACTTGCTTTCATGCTGCCGTAAGAAGGCTTCCAGCTTTTCTCTGCTTTCAAGTTCCAGAAGTGCTCCTAAACTCCACATCAGGCCAAACACAAATAATTTATGAAGATGCTCAACACAGGAAACACCACCTTCTTCTTTAGAGGGAATTAACCCTTCCAGAAGATTGAGAGACTGAAAATGTTTTAAACAAAATAAATTTTTAAATTAAAATTTTGAAAATAAAAAATTTTAAATAATAATTAAATTAAAAAGGAGAAAGGAAGACAAAAGAAAACAGATATGTCTCAAGCTATTGCTTGATCACTGTCCTACAGCTAACAGCAATAAAAGAAAGGCTATCCTGCTTTAGACAGGCAGCATGGCCTAGCAGAAAGGAGGGTGAACTGGAAATCTGCTAGTATGGTTTCTACCCCCAGCTCATGCCACTGACCTGAGTCTCAATTTCCTACTGGGAAAGCAAAAGGCCTAGACTAGATGTTAGCAGCTAATGTAGCTACTGGTTCTTCTAAAGTTTGGCTATCCAAATTTTTGAGATCGAAGATTCTATTTCTTTGCAACATTTTGCAGGACTTAGTAAAATGTTTGGCAAATGAAGTTTTATTGGAGTACAGTCACACTCATTCAAAATGTTTGGTCAATAAAGTTTTATTGATGCACAGTCACTCTCATTCACCTACGCATTGTCTCTAGCTGCTTTTGTGCTACAACAGCAAAGTTGAGTGCCTGAGACAAAGGGTTGTACAAAATATTTATTAATACTATCTGGCCCTTAAAGAAAAAGTGTGGCAATGCCCTATAGCATCAAAAAGAAAACTACAGTAAGACATGCTTGGTCTTTGGAAACAAAATTATTTCAAAATAAAAAATATTCTCTTATGCATTTTAAAGTAATTACTACATAATTCACTGATTTGGGCCTTATATATTGTTTCTAACCTACCCACAAATGACTGACATCACTTAGCTGAGAATCAAAGCTCTAGAATGTTTAAGGAGAGATCACCTATACACTAGGATTAGGAGAGCCCTTGAAGAACTATGATTAGTTCTATTTTAACAGAAAGACTAACAGGGAAGACTGAATAGGAAAAAAAGGAATGCTGGCTGGGCATGGTGGCTCATTCCTACAATCCTAGCACTTTGGGAGGCTGAGGCAGAAGGACTGCCTGAGTCCAGGAGCCTAGACCAACCTGGGCAACATAGGGAGACCCTGTCTCTACAAAAAAAATCCAAAAATTAGCTGGGTATGGTAGTGTGAGCCTGAGCCCCAGCAACTACAAAGGCTGAGGCAGGAGAATAGCTTGAGCCCAGGACTTCAAGGTTGCAGTGAGTTATGATTGTCTGCACCACTGCAATCCAGCCTGGGCAACAGAGCAAGACCTTGTCAAAAGAAAAGAGGGAAAGAAAGAAAAAGAGAGAGAGAAAGAAAGAAAGAGGGAGAGAGGGAGAGACGGAGAGAGGGAGGGAGGGAGAAAGGCAGGAAGGAAGTGGAGGAAAGAGAAGGAAGGAAGGAAGGAAGAAAGAGAAAGAAAGCAAAAAGAGGGAGAGAGAGAGGGAGAGAAAGAAAGGGAGGGAGGAGAAGAAAGAAAGAAGGGAGGGAAGAAAATAAAGAGGAAGGGAAGGGAGGAAGGAAGGAAGGGAGGGAGGGAGGGAAAGAGAAAGAAAGAGAAGTAAAAAGAGAAGGGAAGGGAGAAAGAGAGGAAAGAAGGAAGGAGAAAGGAAGGAAGGGAAAAATAATGCTACAAATTACTTGTCAGATACTTTTTATGTAAAGATTTTCTTTATCTGTTATATGCTAAATATGCAAAGCCAAGATTGCCTTGCAAGTTTTCTTGATTGCAACAGGCCTTTCTGTTCTTTTCCATGAAGCTACCAACTTTAATTTAATTTTTATTTTATTTTTTAAGACAGGTTCTCACTCTGTCACCCCTGCTGGAATGCAGTGGTATGATCTTGGCTCATTGCAAACCTGACCTTCCAGGTTCAAGTGATCTTCCCATCTCAGCCTCCCAAGTAGCTGGGAGTACAGGCACTCACCACTACACCTGGCTGAATTTTGTAGAAACAGGGTTTCTCCACATTGTCCATAGTGATCTTGAACTCCTGAGCTCAATCAATCCACCCATCTTGGCCTCCCAAAGTGCTGGGATTACAGTTGTGAGCCACCGAGCCCAGCCAATGAAATCATTTTCTACTGTTGGGATGGAACCAGTAGTGTGTGTGTGTGTGTGTGCGCGCGCGCATATTTTAAAATTTACTTTAAACCGGTATTCCAGTATTTGTGTGTGTGTTGCTTTTTATTTATTTAAAAATTTGTTTTAACTAATTATTGACTGTCATTATTAGACACACCCTCTGGGACAGGTCACTAAACCTGACAGTGGGAAAGATAGTTCATTCCCCTTCCTCTCACAACATCCCTCTGGGAAGTGAAAATAAGAGAAAACAGTAAGATCATTAAGAAGATCTTTAATAGGAATCAAAATTCTCAGAGCTTTAACAGCCACATTATCAAATGATTCTCAGGGACTATCTGAACTTTCTATTTCAGATGGCTGTAAACTGCAACTGAGTGAAAAAAAATCAAAATCTAGTAAAAAAAAGAAAACAAAGATCTTACTTGCACAATATAGTTGCACTCCAAGAGCTGCATTTTGGGATTGAGACTTAGTTTCATGTATGTGTATGTATCTTCAAAGGCTTTCTCATACAGTGTGTGGAATATAGCAGCTTCCTGTGCAGTGCGTTTCTTCAACCATGCCTGCAGCAAAGAAACAGAATCTCTGGAGTTTATTAAGAAAGCGAATAAACGGAGAAACCTGAAGGTTCTTCTACCCATCTCTCTGCCCCACCTGTAATATTGGTCTCCAGCTGAGAGCAGAGCTGCTGATATAGACCATGCCCATCCTAGAAACTGTGGCAGGAGACGCGTTCTCAATATTGTGGACTTCAAACAGAAGCTTACAACTAGGGGCCATGGGAATTCGATCTCCATTAGCTAACGTCAGAGTTTTATTATCATCCAACACAGAATTTAAATTCTCAATCCAGATGGCATCCACAGGACCATCTAAAACGAGGAAAATGTTTTCACCTGCAAATAATTGAAACAGAAAATCACTTTTCATCTGCAAATGATTAAAATGGAACAATCAACAAATATTGTCTTCATAAGCTGGCAGGGAAAAAAAAAGATCACAAAGGAGGGTTTGTGCACACCTTTTTTAGCTTTTAGTGTTTTTCTCCACAGAGTAGAAAAAATCCCATCTGTCCAGTCATTGGTAGCCGTGTCCAGTCTGCCAAACATCTGAGGTGCAGTAATGGCTTTTGGATTCATTCGCATTTCTCTATGAGGCCTTCCACATTCCGTTTGCGCCTTCATTAGAATCGTGATTACAGTTGTCTTTCCAGAACCACTGGGCCCCAGAGTCATCAAGCCATGCCGTACCAGAGACGTCTCATATAACTACACAATTAACCAGTAAATTAACAAATGTAATTTATGAGTCTGTTGCTGATATTCATAGCAGCTACCTGAAGTTTAAAGGCTTTAAATAAGCTCTTCATTAAAGTAACTAGTTCACTATTTTTAAGTTGTAAAAAGTGTTGTTTTACTAGATACGCATAGCAAATTAGCACCACGTTATAAAATGATATAAGTGATAAAGTAATGACAATGTAGAGCCTGAATTACATTTTGGAAATAATTAACTCAGGATCTAGTTTTTGCTTCTTGCGTGATGATGATTTCCTGTGATTTTGGTATAGTGGTTTATAACCAGCAGTTTTTCCATGCGCAAACTTTCTCGGCATCCACTGTGATGATATCGCCCCTTAGTGATGGTAAACAGCAACGCAGAGCATCACAGTGAAGATCCCAGTTTCACAGGGGCCTTCTAATTCCCCAGAAGTACATCTTGAATGAGAATTCCCGTGCATGTGAGTGCTCCCAGGAGAAAACGGTAAGAGAAGAGGAAAGCAGGGAAGGAATGGGAAGAAGGTGCGATTGAGGACAAAGCCCTGTAGAGGGCAGACTTGAGCCTAATCCCACGGAAGACTGGAGTGTAATTTCCTCAAAGCTTGCTCCACCTGGAACAAGGCGAGCTTGACTTTCCTACTCCATCACCCATCAACTCTTAGAGAGGCTGGTTTCGGGTGGGTGTGAAATAAACTCCCTTGCAGCACCTACTCATTGTGCCTGACAACAAAGTGGCTGCAGTCCTCATTTTGCTGTGAGAAGCAAAAGCACACAGAAGTTAGGCAGGGACAAGTGGAAAGGTAAAAGAGATTCAAGGAGACATTCTAAGAGCATGGACAGCTGCTGTTATAATATCCTGTCTGTAGTTTTCTTGATAAAAAATAAGAAGTTGAAGGTCTGACAGCTGATCAGAGATAGAATGAGTTATTCTCCTAACATTTTGAATAGAAATGTATTACCATTGTAAACTAGAGTTTAAAAGCAAAAGAGGCACTGTTCCTGACGTGTTCAAGAGCAACGTTGTCGACATCAACAAAGAACCCAAAATTCTAGTCACCACCCATTGAGATGGCAAGAATTTTAGAACTCAGTATACTGGATGCATATCACATATAAAATCATGTTTCCCAGAAATTTTTTTAACACTTAAAATAGTTTCTAGTACATGAATGATGAAAAAGACTTCCCTCATGCACATATTTCTTTGTAAGACTTGGATGTGTCTCAGATATGCGCACATCTTATAATCTGGCAAGAACAGCAAGTTAAAATAAGAATTGTTAGATAAATATTTCATATGCAGTTTTTAACAATGTCCACAATTTCAGCTCCTTAATTTTCCAAAAGTCCTGGAAAATACTCCCAAAGCATCAAGCTCATAGAGATTTAATCCTGTGTCTTTGCTATAAGTTCTTGATTCTCCTGGTAATCCAATCAAGTGGTTGGATCGTTGTCACAAGGATGAAATGTGATGAACAGAAAGACACCAACGTACACAGTCAAAAGGCTCAGGTTTTAGTGTAGGTGAAGGGTATAGCATGTCCACCCAAAGCAGGAGCAAAGTAGCACTCCTGGATTCCTCAGGCTCTGCGCCCCACTGAGGCACCCAGCTGTGCTCAGTACTGCCAGACTGGCACAAGAAGCCAGCTGAGTTGTTCCATTCCCCCAGAGTTTTTATAACCTTTCATCCCAACATTGTCACCAAGAGTAAGTAACGACTGCAGTAAATTATTGCTTGATTACTGCAAGGCAGGGTTAATCCATACTATCTTCCTAAGACCACCACATCCCCCTGAGTATTCTTTTTTGCAATGATGTATATGTGGTGTTTTAATTTAACATTTACATCAAGTAAGACTAATCATTAGTTCTTCTCTTCAGATAGAACTATTTAACACATACTTGTCATTATACTGATAATAGATTAAAATGTCTTTACCTGCACGAGTTTCAGGTTCCAGGGTGGATGGTTAATCAAACCTTCTATCTGAACTTGATTAGCTACTGCAGCTTGCAGTTCTTCATAAGTACTACTATCCAGTTGCAGTCCTGGAAACAGGTCATTGATTAAGCTGAGGAATAGGGGTTCATCTTCATCAACCTAAGGTGGCATAGTTTAAAATAAATTTACTCATTTAGTCAATAAACGTTTATCAACTAGCTGAAATGTGCATAGCACTTATCACTTCATGCCCAGAGAACCATTTACTACTCTCCTAATCAGGCTTGTATTCTCTAGTACTTTCTCTGGAATATCACTGACATGGTTTGGCTGTGTGCCAATCTCATCTTGAACTGTAATCCTCATAACTCCCACCTGTCTTGGGAGGGGCCCAGTGAGGCTTAATTGAATCATGTGGGCGGGTCTTTCCTGGCTCTTCTCATGATAGTGAATAAGTCTCACCAGATCTGATGGTTTTATAAAGGGGAGTTACCCCGCATATGTTCTCTTGCCTGCCACCATATAAGATGTGACTTTGCTCCTCATTTGACTTCTGGCATGACTGTGAGGCCTCTCAAGCCATATGGAACAGTGAGTCCATTAAAACTTTTTCCTTTATAAATTATGTCTTTATTGGCAGCATGAGAACAGGCTAATACAATCACCACTGAATCCACATTGTACCCCAAATTCCTTCCTATTCAATGTGTTCTACAATCTTGTCCCAGTCTATTGCTCTGAAGTACAACCTCATTACTTTATCACATAAATGCTCTGCTTCTCACAGAGTGGCATTTGCATTAACCTTAAAAATGATAATTTGTAGTTCCAACCCCATGAGATTAAAATACTAATATTTTATTTAAATTGGGAAAATACCCATAACCCTACATGATTTCATCCAACAATGGCTGGAAAACTCCATCGGGGCAGTCTTCTGAGCCTTTCTTATAAGCAGTAGGTTTGAGTACACTGACCCCAACCCTTATTTGCAACGTCTTTAATACACAGATTGCCCTGTTCCCAACATCTGGCCCCTTATGACTTCTCTTTACTCTCCAGGGATCTGTGATGCTTTCTTGAATACTTGTCTAGGAATTTCAAAAATACTGTCCCTACAGTCCATGTTGGTCATACAGGCAGTAAGGTATACTGCCAGGATCAGTGGATCTGGCATCAGAAAATCTTACAAATTTTTGTCCCAGCTTCTCAGCTGATGGTGATTATGGGGGAACCCCACAACCTCTCAGTCTCCATTCCCAGCAAGTGAAGTGACAATAAGCAGAATAGGCATCCAGATCCCACAGAGTTGCTGTGAGGCTCAAACAAGACGATACACCTGGAAAGACTTTGTAACGAACTCCACAGGTGTTACTTTTGTAACGAGAATGTAGCTTCCCAAGAACGATTTCTTCTTTAACCTTGTACACCCATGGCATGGGCATAATATCTGGCATGCAGAAATCCTTATATGCCACATGAACCCGTTCATCAGCTAGTTCAAAACAACCTGGCTGGGCTGGGCGTGGTGGCTCATGCCTATAACCTCAGCACTTTGGGAGGCTGATGGGGGTGTGGATCATTTGCATCCAGGAGTTGGAGATCAGCCTGGGTGACATGGCAAAACCCTATCTCTACAAAACAGTACAAAAATTAGCCAGGCATGGTGGTGCACACCAGTAGTCCCAGCTACTTGGAGGCTGAGGCAGGAGGATAGCTTGAGCCTGGAAGGGGAGGTTGCAGTGAGCCAAGATTGTACCACTGTACTCCAGCCTGGAGACAAAGTGAGACTCTGTTTCAAAGAAAAAAAAAAACCCGGGCTGTAACTGTGACAAGCATGAAAGTAGCATGCTCTCCACAGCAAATTTTCAATGTGATTTTAGAAAACAGAAACGGAGTTTATGTTTTGGGAGAAATATATCTGAGATAAGCTAGTCACATACAGAGAAAGCAAAAGTTCTCATGGTTCCCTGAGAATCCAGATTCTTATGCTAAGAATTTGTGTCACTTTGTGAATAATGGTAGAGAACCAGGTTGAATCTTGGAGCTGAGGCCCACTGATGACCTGGTTCACCTGCACACAACTGATAAAAGGAGGCCCTTATAGTCCCTGTTGGTCACACAGAGTCATGGGGTCTTTTGCCTTCTTCTGGAAGCACAGTGGTAGCTTTGCACACCCATTATTCCTGTAATTATTAGTGCTCATAGCTCAACATCAGCCTACCCCACTTGTCCACCAAATAGAAAGAAACCACATCAAAATTTCTGGAAAAGTAGAGAATTCAAAGAAGATACCAGTTTAGAAAGGTTCATATCTCTCAGTCCTCTCATGACAGTGCTTAATTCACTATCTTCTGGTCTGGCTCTTTTTTGAGATCCAAGAGTCCTTAATACAGATAGAATATTTCTCAACCCAAAGTCATAATGAACCTAAGATGGGAGAAAAAGGCAAAAAGATGGTTTAATTGAAAAACTAAACATAGACTCACAGCTCACTCTATGCATGTAGGTCAATTCTGGTATTTATATGCCATAGTTTTAGGGTGGCTAAGCTGCAAAGGTTTATTAGCTCAACTTTCCTCTGACTGAAATATGATCATTCCATGGGAAAATCCAAGCTGTATGATCCAGTATTCACACCTTAAATATCTTTTGAGAATAATATAGTCCGATACAGTCTGCGCAACCATACGTTTTAAATGCATAACCAAGAGGTTACACACTATGTGATTATGTTTACATAACATTCTTATAATGAAATTCTAGACATGGAGAAAAGGTGAATGGGTTAGGGATTTGGGAGGGAGGTGGGTGTGGCTATAAAGATGTAGCATGCGGGAACCTTGTGGTGAGGGAACAGAGCCGTGTCTTACATATTCCATACTACAACATACACACACCAGTGCATGTATAACTGGTGAAACCTTAACAAACTCTGTGGACTGCTTCAGTGTCCATTTCTGGTTTCGTTATTGTGCTGTGGTTGCAAGATGTCAACAGCGGGCAAGGCAGGGTGAAGGGTGCACACCTCCCTGTACATTCCTTTGCAACTTCCTGTGAATCTACAATTATGTCAAAATAAAACGGTCTTAAAAATACACAACCAATAGGTCAAATTCTAAAAACATTCTAGGAAAGAGTCAATGAGATTTTAACTCACCGATGAGCATTTATCAAGGGAAAATTAAAAAGCAAAAAACCAAATTCTATCGCTGGTGGGGAAAGAAGGTCTATAAAGTTACCTGTTTAGTAAGTTGCTCTTCACAGAGTTTGTAAAGAACATAAAATTTTTGAGCCAAGATAACATTTTCAAGAAAACCACAGCTTGCAAGTTTAACTCGCATAATGATCTGAAAATTAATAGAGTGAGATTTTTTTCAACAGCTGTAGTGAAAAACAAGTAAAGAACATAAAGTACATTATGCTTTTAAATCCTGGTACATACCTGTCTATCAGGAACCATCATAGCAACAGTTCTAAACTGGATTTTTAGGTTTTCTGGTAGTTCCTGGCGCCCAGCATATCCAGGGTTCTAAAAGTTAAAATGTTTAATTTTTAATTGTTGATACAATAATCACTTCTGAATACAAATATATTTCAAACCCCTAATTCAGATTTTAAGATGGTATTGAAAAATATTAGATTCATAAAATGTTCTTGTTTTCTCAAAACAATGTGTATTGGACCATACATATTTATTAATATTCATATGCCATTTTATATATTTCCATTTTCATTATATTAATACAGTCACACAATTTTGTGTGGCAAAAATTAAATATCTGTGTGTCTACTGGCTTAAAATATAGAAAAGAACATGAAATAATCAAAGAGGTAACTGAATAAATACCTGATTATGATCTAAAGTATGTTAATGAAAGAAGGGAAAAAAACTCAGGATTTTACACTGATGAGCTTAGTTGGGCACTTTTCCTATTCCATCTCTTCAATTATTCTTTGCGGTTATAGTTATAGAGCTCTTTGGCTAACAAAAACCCATGAAAGTGAGGGGAAATAAAGATGGGAATGATGGGAAAAACACTGAAAAGCACAAAAGTAGGGGCTGATAGGAAATGAAGGCCTCCTAAGAAGCAACAGGTTGAAGATAGGTCAGGCCCAAGTCTCAAAGGAAAAGGTGGGGATTCAAAGACAAGTAAGGCCCACAGGGATGAATTATTTTAGGCAAGTTTGTTAAAAACCTTCAGTACCTGACCATTTGCTGGGCACTGTCAATAGGCCAGGTACCTTGCTAGGGGCTGGAAATACAGAGATTGAGGCTACCTCTCAATACTCCTCTTATCCTTCCTTAGCCACAGAAGCCCACTTGCAAGCTGGGTACATCAACCTATAGATTAAAAACTACATTGCCCAGCCTGCCTTGCAGCTTAGATTTTACACTGAGAGATGCAAAGGGGCACACCCTGTATTGAAATATCCGTGATGTTTGTTTGAAGGGAGTTGACTCAGTCAATTGGCCGCAACACAAGAGAGATGCTTTCTGTATTGTCTTGGGTCAAAAGATGACCTTGAAGATGAAATTCATATGGAGTAGAACCATAAAAGGATCTTAAGAGAATAAATCCTCATATGTTAAACTACAATATGTTTTAGGTTTCAGTTACTTACAGCTTAATGCAATATCTAATTGCTATTTCCAATATTACTCTTAATCCAGGGAGCATGTTAAGCTTTTTTCTAAATTCTAGACCATAGTTTCACACTGAGTACCTTTCTTCATCCTATTTCCTGAGTTATAACCAATACTTCCAGATTATTCGTATTTCCCCCTAACTGCTTTACTGGATGTTTGCTTATAATAAAGCATATCAGAATTCTTTCTGATTTTGCTTCCTATAATTTATCATCTCTATCCATGGGAACATTTAAAAATTCAGAGTGCTTTGTGTTATCTTGCAACTTCGAGATTTAGCTTCATGAAAAACACCTAAAAACTTTAAAACTGGTAACACATAAAAGCATAAAAACTCCTGTTTATTCATGCCTTTGGTTTTCTATCGTTACAATACTGAACCTCAAAGCTCACCCTTCATCACATAGTAACTGAATTTGTTACAATTCTTTGGCATAGGACCTTGCTAAATTATTATAGAAATTTTAAGTCATTTCCTGTTATTCAGTGTCAAAGAAAAACCAAGTGTGAGGTTAAGCAGTCAGATTTTGATGTTAGAGAGACAATAACTTCTTTCTCTTACTGGCTGGGTGACCTGGGAAGCTTTTAAGTCTCACTGAGCCTCAAGTAAGTCAGCTATATAATACCCACTTCAGAGAGCTGTCGTAGCTATAAGATACAGTGTACATGTGAGAGAATATTTCAGGTCATTTCTCTTTCTAGTCACATAATAGGACTGCACGTTTTCCCCCACCCCACCACCCCATGAAGTCAGGTCATGAAACTTGCTTTAGCCAATGACTCAGGACTTGTGGCACTTCTGGAAAGAAACTCTAAGAGTCAGAGCACAATTCTTCATGTTCTCTTTCTCCTTTGCTATAGCAAAAAGCAATGATTGAGATAGTAGGTACCTTGTAAGGCCGAGTACCTGAGTAAGGACATACAAAGCAGCCCTGGCCTCACACGCCTACTCTAGTCAACCCCACAGTGGACGTGTGGCATGACAGAGAGATACATCTTGTGGTTTTAAGCAATTAAGATTTAGAGATTGTTTGTTACTGCAGAATCACATGAGTTATGCCATCAGATACAGCACATAGAACATTTAGCCTGCACCTTACACATATTATACTAAGTGGTCAATAAACAGTAGCTATTATTATCATTAGCATATTAACCTCTGTAGATCTGGATCTGAATTTTTTTTTAATTAAAAAAAATGTAGCTGGGCACAGTGGCTCACGCCTGTTATCCCAGCACTTTGGGAGGCCACAGTGGGTAGATCACGAGGTCAGGAGTTTGAGACCCGCCTGACAGACACGGTGAAACCCCGTCTCTACTAAAAATACCAAAAAAAATTAGTCAGGTGTGGTAGCACACACCTGTAATCCCAGCTACTCAGGAGGCTGAGGCAGAAGAATCGCTTGAACCCTGGAGGTGGAGATTGCAGCGAGCCAAAATCTCGCCACTGTACTCCAGCCTGGGCGACAGAGCAAAACTCCATCTCAAAAAAAAAAAAGGAAACAAATTTTACTATTTTATCTTCTGTCTGGGCTTCTATCTACTGACTTTTCAAAAAAATTATACAATAAGAGAGAACAGCTCATGACTCTTGGATAGTCAGTCATTTACCCATGAACACATTCTTTGTTTCATTTACGTCTATAATAATTAAACTAATTAAATTGCATGTAAAGTCTTTTTTCTCACCATTGTTAAGAAGATTCCAAATTCTGGATTTAAATCAACACAATCACCATCAGAAAAAATGAACTGTTTCTTTCTCTCTTTTCTTGCTGTCAAAACAATATAAATTTGTTGTGCTGCCACTGATAATACAGGCAATTCAATTCTGTTAAACTCATCAAAACAGCCCCAGGAACCTGACTGTGCAAGACCTGGCATGAAAAACAGTCAATTTGTAAAGTTTTACTCTATAATATACCTTCTTGATAACAATCATTTCTCCAGTATTCTCAAACCATTATACACTGAAACGTGATTATGTAAAGTTTCTTACCTGGCTGTTTATAAATAAATATTTAATTCCAGTGATAAAGAGAGGTTTAATTGTTTGTATGTTATCATCAAAACAATGGAAATAGTACACTGCCAAAATGAAAGTACAAATTTGGGGTGGATTTTGAAAATAGAACCCATAGTGTTTGCTGACGGATTGAATCTGAGTATGAAAGAAAGGAGTAAAGGACAGGTTGAAGTTGTTTTGGCGGTGGTGGTTTTGTTTGTTTGTTGTTGTTGTTGTTGTTGTGTCTGCGCACCTACAAGAAGGGAGTGACTGTTTAGTGAGATGGAGAAGCCTGAGGGAGGAGTAGATATGGGAAGAGAGATCGAGAGTTTGGTTTTAAACATCGTGAATCTAAACCTCTTAGACATTTAAGTGGACATGCTCAATTAACAGTTGTACGTAATGAATCTAAAGTTTTAAGGAGAAGTCCGAGCTAGAGATATAATTTTGGGATCATCATATAGATAGTATTTAAAGCTTGGGCCCACATAAGATCTACCAAGGGAATGCACGTAGATTGAAAAGAGAAGACTACCAAAGACTGAGTTCAGAAGCTGATATGTCTTCAAATATTGTTTTTCTCTGTCCATCTGAAAACACCTTCTACCTACCTTTCAGGATTTTCTCAAAATTTTCCATCTTCTGATGGCTACCTACTTCTTATTTTCCAGTGTCGCTATGCTTTTTAAAAATCTTTAATTTCAGTGGGAGGGAGGCCACATGTGTCCCCTGTTTGCTATCTTGATCTTCTCTACTATTATTTCAGGCAACTATACATTGATTCCATGTTCGTAATCTAACACACTAATCTAATACATAGATTATAACACTAGCAATAGTATTGAACCATATTAGATTGTTGATCTCCAGCCATTTTCGACCTAGAAGAATGGCAATATCATATGGATCAACCCATACTAATGTTGATTATGTAAGATAGTGTCACTTTAGATTTATATAAGAAAATAACATTAAAGGGCAATAAAAATGAATTCACCAAAAATAATCCATATTATTTGACACTTGCCTTTGAAAATCCTTCCTAGGCCTCTGAAATCCATTTGATCTGAGCAATTAAACACGACCACATATTTTCCCAGACACCTTCCCATGTCTTTTGTGGTTTCTGTTTTGCCAGTGCCGGCAGGTCCTGCGGGAGCGCCTCCCATGTTCATGCCCAAGGCCTGCGCTAACGTGATGTAGCATCTGCAAATGTCCATCCAGTAAAGCATTGTGAGCATGGGATGACACATGACAGGATGGCACAAACAAAAGTCTAATGCAATTGGAATGGGCCTGTTTATTTTAGAGTTTGCGTAGCTTACATAAAAGAGGCGACCAAATAAGGCTGGGGTACTTGATATTCATTAAAAGTACTACAGTGAATCCAAAGATTTCTTGAGACAAATTTCAAAACCCTTCAATCCTGACTTAAAACCTTCAGACCTTCCTCCCATTATGGTCAGAACCAAATGGGCAGTGTTGTGTTGGCAGATGTTTAACAACTGGCTCTCCAGAAAAAAAATAATAAACCTGGTTTTCATGTTTGCCAATTTCCATTTATAAATACCTCCATCATGGTCAATGACAAGCTATCAGCATGATATCACAAAGTTGGGACAAAATACACATAGACAGACACAGGGTAAGCACCACAGGTTGACACAAGTCAGCTCCGGCACACCACTGTAAATAGTTTCACTATGAAATAATTCACTAATTTAGAAAAGAGCAAATAATAATATAATCTCTTTGTATCCATGTTCCACCTTCTGTTGTATTTGTTTTGTATATAAGTAAAACTTAGTAAAGAGATTAGTAAAGCTTCATGAGACATGATGCTTAATATGTAAACACCAATAGAAGAGAAAACACACTGACAAATTTATGTTGCTATGACACTGGGCATATGAAAGGGATAGGTTCAATAAATCAAAAGGAGGCTGAAGATGTAATTTGATTGTGTCATAATTTCACCTGGAGGCAGCCCCACTTAAAGTAACAGCAGAACTAAATATTAACCCAATCTAAGTCAATTCTAATAACATTTATTGAATGTTTTCTATGCACAGCATATTTAACTGGGTGTCGTGGGATTAAAAAGACCCAGTAATTGCCTAGTGTCATATAATGGAAAGAACTGTGATGGGATCTGCCACTGACTAATTATTCATATTGGCCATGAAAATTCACTTTAGGTATCAATTTCCACATCTGAAAATCCAAAGACTAAATTACATGCTCTCCAAGGTACCTTCCTTCTTTGCAATTTTAACTACTTTTGGGATTCTAGGAGCATTTTTCCATCTTGCAATCTAAACTTAACCATTAAATTACTTACAGTCAACATTCAAGCTTGCTTTTATTCTTTTATCTTTTTCTACTTCGTAAAAATTCAATGCACATGTATGTTTAAGTGGTTATTTCATTGTTAGGCTGACTTTAATGAGCTAGCATATACCCAGCACGACAGCAATCTGCTTTTGTTAATATTTCAAATGCAACCTCAAATAATGTTAAGCACGTTATTACAAAATGAAAAAACAAAAATTGGGTTTCCTACCTATCTGTTAATGGAGTGATAACGAGGCGATCAGTACATCCCAGAAATTCATTTTGGTAAATAAAATCAACATCTGTAATAGACACCACAGTTTGATCCAAATCTTCCTTAAAATAAAATCTACTCTGTTTTAGCCATTCAAAATCAGTAGCTGATTTGATATGCATTTTTACCTTAAAAACATAAGATACAAAAAAGTTATATACTGCATTGCAATAGCATAAAATACAAGCATGTGGGCAGTTTTCATTTCACTCATTGATGAACTGATTCTTATTCACTTAACAAATATTTATTGAGTTCCTTCCTGTGCTTGACACTGGGCTATGCGAACAAAGACAGGCATGGTTTCAGGCTTCCAGAGCTTACGGAAAAGGGCAAAAGGCAAACGGTGAAACACATCATTGCAACAAAGCACAAAAACCACCACCAGAGAAATTTGGGGCTCATGAATATATGCAGCAGGAGGACCTAACCACCCCAAGGTACCTGAGAGGGGCACTCACAGTACGAAAATATCTCAACTAAAACTCAGATAAATAGTAGGAATTAGCCAGGCCCAGAAGGAGTGGGGAACAAAAGTGGTAATACGGGAGTGGGAAGAGTACGTGCTATAGGCAAATGCCCAGAAGATCTGGTTGGCACCTTCAAGGAACTGGAAAAAGGTCAGTATAGCTGGGGCATCCCAGGATCTAGAGAAAGAATGAGAATTGAGGCTTCACAGGGCCATGGGAAGGGGTTTAGGAATTGTCCTCATGGCATTTGGAAGCCACTGAAGGGATTAAGCAGGGAAACACATGATTATACGTGCATATGTCTCCCTGCACCAGCACTATAGCCAAGCCACCCAACCTACCTGGTCATCAGCATATACAACTGAGGCATGAGGTACTGGGCTCCCATTGCCATGGGTGCAAGCTCTAGTACCTGGTCCATTCAAAGAGACAGAAACCAGGTAAGCACCCTTAGAAACTCCATCCCACCACAACCACATTCTGAGGAACTTCATGATTTTCTGGTGAAACTGGAAAAACCCCAGTCCTGCCCATACAGAAGAATCAACACAAGAAGTGGCAAGTGGTCCCCTTCACTGCTCTTACACTCACCCAGTAGGCCCATTTCCAGGTCAATTGACACTAAAAAATGGACTTAATGGCTACTCTACAATGTTCAGATCTCCATCTGACCAGGCCCTACATACTCCTTGCTATTTACAGTCTTGCTTTTTGTTATTGTTGTTTCTTGCTTTAGTTATGACCTTGTTTCCTCCTCTAGTTAAGGACTTGCTTCCCACCTAAAGCACAGTTTGCATTCATCACCTTGAGTTACTTTCAGGTAACCCAGTCTGGCACCATCCCCAGGGACTGCTCTGTAACACAGGACTCAAGGCCATGGGGATGCTCTCAGCCAGCTACTTTCAACCATCTGTTAATTTGGTAAGGAGGAGGTGGAGAAGAAAAGATAGTTAATAGATTTATTGAGCTCTTGCTGTGCATCAGGCTGTTCCAAGCATTGTACATGAAAAACTAAAACGCATATATGTTGGCCATGAGACCTGATTTAGTTGGGATGCAAACACTTCAACGGTGATTAAGATAAAAGAAAACAGTTTCATACTTCTTGTATACAGGTTTTTTTTTTTTTTTTTAATCCATTCTGGATGTAAAGTAAAGCTTTGCTTGTCACTTAATTTTAAAAGAAATGTCTTTTACAGGACTTCGGCTTTAGGAGCCAATGAGAGATGTATAGAAAACATCCTCAAAAATATGCTTACAGTAGATATAATAATGAACTCCAGCCGGGCGCAGTGGCTCAAGCCTGTAATCCCAGCACTTTGGGAGGCTGAGGCGGGTGGATCACGAGGTCAAGAGATCGAGACCATCCTGGTCAACATGGTGAAACCCCGTCTCTACTAAAAAAAATACAAAAAATTAGCTGGGCATGGTGGCACGTGCCTGTAATCCCAGCTACTCAGGAGGCTGAGGCAGGAGAATTGCCTGAACCCAGGAGGCGGAGGTTGCGGTGAGCCGAGATCGCGCCATTGCACTCCAGCCTGGGTAACAAGAGCGAAACTCCGTCTCAATAAATAAATAAATAAATAAATAAATGAACTCCATACTAGTGTTTCTTGAGGTGGACGTCAATGAAAGTCAAAGTATAATAGTAATTGCAATTACTAAAAGCAAGTCAGTGGAAGGCCAAAACAATATGTGTGCAGCTTTCTGATATTAGCTTGATCCAGAGATAAATTTTAGAGCATTTTTTTCTCAAGCTTCAATATGTGTATCAGTCTCCTGAGAATCTTGTTAAAATGCAGATTCTGATTCAGTTGGTCTTGGAAGGGAGGACAGAGGATGGAGATTCTGCTCTCCTCACCAACTTCCAGGTGTTACCAAGGCACTGTTCAGCATGTAATACTTTGAGAAGCAAGGATCTTGGTTGCAGGGGAATAGACAGACTGGCTGCATGTCCTTCAGCTAATCTTCAATAAATGCAACTTATCTGCTCAGAACTTTCGATAGATGTTGAAAACAGGTAGTCTATGATCATATTCTCTAAAACAGAACCCAACCTGCATGAATTATGTGTCTCTGATAAAGGAAAGAGATACCTTTAAGGTATATCAAATCAAGTACACTAAAGCAATGGGAGTTACATGGTAGGTAAAGATTGTCAAATAGTGGCATTTCAAAACGACCTGGGGCTCCTAGCTGGTAACAGAAAATCCTTGCTTTAGGAGAACTTGGCCTAGGTCAAGGCCACTAATTAGAGTCCTATTCCTTTTTTTTTCCCCCATTTATTTATTTTATTGCATTTTGGGTTTTGGGGTACATGTGAAGAACATGCAAGATTGTTGCATAGGTACACACATGGCAGTGTGATTTGCTGCCTTCATCCCCATCACCTACATCTGGCATCTCTCCCCTTGCTATCTCTCCCCAGCTCCCCACACCCCACCATCCCTCCCCTATTTCCCCCCAACTGACCCCACTGTGTAGTGCTCCCCTTCCTGGGTCCATGTGTTCTCATTGTTCAACACTCGCCTATGAGTGAGAACATGCGGTGTTTGATCTGCTCTTCTGTCAGTTTGCTGAGAATGATGGTCTCCAGGTTCATCCATGTCCCTACAAAGGACACAAACTCATCGTTTTTGATGGCTGCATAATATTCCATGGTGTATATGTGCCACATTTTCCCTATCCAGTCTATCA